ACTCCTTGGCCTTGGGCGCCCAGATGTCTGGGACTCCGCAGCTCAAGTCCCAGGAAGCACACCCAAGATGACGTGTGGCTTCGCGCGTGGGCCTAGCGGATGCTTGACAGCTTCAGAACCCAGCTCTGCCCCAGACCAACCCGACGAGGACGGAAGGCTGTGCAGGACCAGAAGGGGACAGGGAGGGGTCCTGGGAGCCTCTGCAGGGAACTCTGGGAGTGGACTAGTCGCCAGCCCTCCCAGCTCGGCCTCATCCCAGCCCCGGCCTGGGGAACCTGTCTGCGGCTGAAGCCCCCACCTGGTGGAGGTGAGACTCCGTCCCATGGCCCTGCTCCCAGCCCTCTTCCCTGTGCCCTCAGCCATCTGCACCGAGTTGGCCTCTGGGTGCAAGTTTGTCCTCCTGCAGGCAGAGAGCCTGGCTGATGTCCTTGGCCCCACCCTCACCTGCCATCAGGACACTCAGCTGCCCCAGGGGCTGCTCAGCCCCTGCCTGGCTGGTATGCCCAGTCCCTCAGGCCTCCCCCCTCCACCCCACCCCACCGCCCCAGAGACGGTGCTCTCCCCCGGGCTCCAAACTCCGTGATGGTGGGGGGAGGGCAGAGCCACCATCTGGCTGCAGCGACAGATTCAGACACACAAGACAGCGGATACTTAAGGACACGGCTCTGCAGGGAGCTCGGAGGAGGTAGGGGTTGGGGAGTGGGGAGGAGAAGGCAGACGAGCGAGTCAGGGGGGCTGGGGGTCCCGGAACCCCCGTCGGTGACACAATGGAGAAACAAAGCTGCCTCCCATGCTGTGTGGTCTTGGGGGTGGGAGACCACTACCCTGGGCAGCCTGGAGTGGAAGGGGCCCTAAAAACTCTTGGAGGTGACTTGGGAAGGACTGGGAGAAATCAGACTGACAAGGCCCCCAAATGAGCGAGAGGGGCCCCTAGGCAAGGAGAGCGGGCAAAGGCTCGAAGGTCTGGGGCAGGGGCTGGAGGTGGGAGGGACGCAGACTCTCTGGCTAGCTGCCCCAACTGACCCAAAGCACAAGCGCCCCCCATGTTTTGGGGAGAAGTTTGGGCGGCATTCCGGGGCTGTGGGTCAGCAGCGTGTGTGGAGGCATTTCTGATGTTTTCCACGTTCCCTTGAGGTCTGAGTTCAGCAAGGAGCACAAGGGACCTCCCCAAGAGCCGCCAACCTGCCCCTCTCGTCCGAGTTGTGTCCCTGTAGGATCCCCAATGTCATGTGAGGTCCCCAGGGGCCTCAGCCCACTCCTGTCAGCCCTGCACAGGCTCACAGTGAACACACTCTCCTGCTCTCATCCCCCCAGAGATGAGGACCAGGCCAGGCTGGCCAGCCGGCAGGGGCCGAGGGCGGCCGGACTCTCTCCTGAATTTGTCTGCTCTCTGCAAGGAGATTGTCGGTGGCCCCCCAGCAGCTTCCAGACACACCTGGACACCCAGGAGGACCAGGCACTCAGAGGTGAGAGAAGAAGGCAGGACTCTGGCAACAGGGTTTCACAACTCATGGTTTATTGACACTTGAGCACAGTGGCCCTGGGAGGAGATCGCCTTTCTGGCCCCTTCATGCCGGGGACTTACCCCTGCAGACAGGGGAACTGCCATCCTGTCTTGGAACAAGACCTCCCCTGGCACAGAACACCACTCCCAGGCACCCAGTGAGACGTGCACAGCCTCGGCAAGGCTCGTGCGGCGCGTTTGGCAAAGCTGTGGAGCCTTGGCGAAAATCGCAGGCCTCCCGGGGATGCCCCCTGGGGCTACAGCCAGAATCAAACCAAAACAGCTTATTTTGCACAGGTCCACCCGGTTTCCGTTTAGCTTGGGTGGGGGCCAGGCCTAGGAGCAGCCAGCGCTGTGCCCCCAGCCCTGGGAATACTGCTGAGGTAGCCGGGACGCAGGGGAAGGGGTGGGGCTGGGGCCATGTGCTGGCCCAGGCAGGGCAGGCAGGCAGGCAGGACTGCAGCAAAGGCAGGGGTCGCCAGAGCTGACCCAGGATCTCAGAGAGCCTGGTTTCTCCTGTGGGGCCAGGCCCCTGTCACTCTCCCCCCAAAACATGCCCATTTCCTAGTCCTGGATGCTGAGGACGGGCTGGGTCAGGGAGGCCATGCATTTGCCTCCGGGATTTCAGCGGGTTGGGAACTTGACTAGAACAACCTGGAGAGCCCAGCTGCGCCCCGCCCCCTCCCAGGCGCCCCCCACCCCCCACACCTGAAGAGGGAGCCTGCTCTCCCCAACTCCCCCGCTGGCTCGGGATCAGCCCTACCTGTGAAAGCAGGGCTGACTTCTCCAGCTTTTGTACCCCATATAAGGCGCTGGCAGCTGCAGCTCGATTCTTTTCCAACCCACTTAAATTTAAGAATAGACACTAATAATACTTAAACAGCCCTCCCTGCTGGCGATGGGGGATGGGCCCTCAGCGCTGGCGGCATCTCCCTGATGCACCAGGCTCACCCCGAGTGGCCCCTGCACCTCCAAAATTCCAGGAGCTGCTGCACAGACTCAGTGCAACCCTGTGCCCTACGAAGGGAAAACAGGCCCAGGGAGGCGCAACGACTTGCTCAGCTCACGACTTGCTCAGCTCATACGATGAGCTAGCGGCAAGGCTGGTACTTGAGAAGGGGCTCAAGGTCCACACCAGTGCCTGTGGCCTGAAGAGGAACTGCGCCAGGACTCGCAGAGGCTGAAGATGTCCAAGGGCTCCCAGCCCAGCCTGGTGAGGATGGAGAGATCTCCTCTGTGCCGGGGTGCATGCACAAGGCCAGTCCCTGCGCAGCAGGAGAACGAGGCTCCCTTGGTCTCCAGGGAAGGACGAGCAGCTCCCAGGGCCGCACCAGGCAGCCTGGTGGGTGGGGGGCGGGAGCCTCTGACCCCAGCAGCCTGGCTCGGGGTAGGGAAGACACCGGGACAAGCCTGGGGAGATCTCCCGGGCTTCGGGCCGGTGCATGAATCAGACCACCAGGTGGGGTGACCCAGACTCTGTGGGGGAAGCTCCACTCTTGGCGGCAATCAATGGAGTAAGATTAGCAAAGAAACATCGATCCCTCCCTCCATTAAGGTCATGTCCACGGGCGGCTGGGCTGGTAGTGAAGGGTGGGGCCACATCCTGCCTCTTGCCAGCCTGGTGCTGGGAGGGGCCAATGAGGAGGCTTCTGGCCCCCAGAAGGCAGCGGGGCCTTCAAGTTAAAGTCATGTTGGCCACTGAACATTCTCTGAATTGCAGTGACCATGTTTAGGATGCTTTTTATCATGAGCCCTTGAGCAAGGCATTGACCACGTCTAAGCTGCTTCTTCCTTGCCGTGGGAGTGGGGGGTAAATGCTGAGGCTGCAGGTGGTGGGCCCCCACCCCCCCGCTGGCTCCCTCTCTCCTTGCTGGACAGCAGACTCGCCTCAGGAGGGCGGCTCTCACCATCCCCCCTCCCTGGGCTGAGAGGGGCCAAGGCTCCCGGCAGGGCAGGTGGGCTCGCTCCCTGTGCAGACCCTCCCGGGGCCCCACTGCTGTGGGTGGACGCTGAACCACAGGACTGCACGGCCTTGGGGACCTGATGCCAAGCTTCCTCCCCCTGCCCTCTGCCCCGCCAGTGACATTCTCCTGAAACCTCAGCTAAGCCAAAGCCACCCACTGCCCTTCCCAGACCTGCTGGCCTCCGCCTGCAGCAGCCCTGCCCACCACTGTGAGCCGGGTCCTTCCGGAGAGACCCCTCTCTCCAGGGCCCCCTGACCTCTGCCTGGAGCCCTCACCCAGCCCTGCTTCTTTCAACTCCACACTCGAGTCACATCTGCCCCACTTGACGTGAGTAACCTGTATCACCCGAGTCCTGTGGCTTCTGAGCTTCACCTTCCCAGGTGCACTAGGGGACAGCGAGTTGCTCACAGGCAGGGGGACCATGGGCAGAGAAGGCAGCGGAGGCAGCCAGCCACAGGGCAGAATGAGGGGCTGCGGCCTGGGCAGGTGGGACAGACTCCCAGCAGCAACCCTGCTGCCTCCAAACGGAACCAGAGACCCCCAGGCTACCTCCAGACTTGCCAGAGCCTCTTCAGTGTGTTCCCCAATGAATGCAACTCAACTACCAATACACAAGAGATTCTAGAATATTCTAGTCAAACAGCAGCAAGGACCTGCCCATTCACGAAGCTCGGTCCCTCAGCTTGGGGTCCAGCCAGAGACATGAGGGGCAGGGCCAAGGGGGGCTGGGGGGCAGGCCACGGTCACCCTGAGGCCCCAGAGCCCCGTGGTCTGGCCCAGGCCACGCTCTCAGGGCCACTTTGCTGACTGTCAGCGGCGCATCACAAAGCAAGAACTCTTCAGGAAGAATTCTAGCCCAAATCACGCCTGACAAAATAAATCCTGCTTCGTAAAAACTGAAACACGGCTAGTAGAATCCTTCAGAGGCCTGGCACTTCCAGCCTCACCTAAAGCTGGTTAAGGCACTTGAATGGCTTATTAACACCACCTGGAAAAATCTTTGTTTCAATCCTGATTTAGGAAAAAAAATTCAGTAACACTGCAAAAGAAGTTTCCCCTAAAAAAAAAAAAAAACAATACTTAGTTTTCTAAGGAATAAAATAAACGCTAAGCCCTGTCTAAGTTATATGACACATCAGGTCACCTTGGCACTGACGAAACAAAGACAACTCTGAAATACTGCTTCTGAATCAGACTTCTCCCTGGAAAACAAGAGACCACAAACAAAAGATGTGTGCGTGGTTGTTCTGAGCTTCCTCTCCCCAGGTGCTCCAGGGACGAGGGGACCAGGGAGGCCAGGGCAGGCGTGTCACCAGCGGGTGCGCGATGCGGCAGACCAGATCCCTGGCACTCACTCTTCTCCCCTTGCAGCTGTGGGCAGGAGGAGCCGACGAGAAACCTCTGCTGGATGCATTTGAGAACGTCCGTGGCTCCCGGGTCCGCCTGAGGGACCCCCATACAGCGTCCTGCTGCCCCGCTCGCTTGCCTGGCGCCTGTAGCCTCTGGTCCGGCCCCTGCCCGATGGGGAATAAGGCCGGTCCACCTCCCGGGCCTCGTCACTGTCGTGAGGTCTCCTCCCTAGGCCTCCTTCAGAGACCCCGCCGTCCCACTGCCTGTCGCCAGCAAGGCGAGACACTCACCACCCAGTGCAGGTCTTGCCGCCGAGATGGGCTGATGCAAGCAGCACGAGGGGCTCGGGGTCCTGGGGAAAGTACTGCGTGGGTGTTGCCACCTGCCCACTGCCATCTGTCTGGTCCTAAGGCATCTGAGGGAGGATCACAGGGAGCAGGCGGGGGGCCTGGACCTCCTAGCTTCTCTGCAGAGTGTTGGTCTCTGGCTCTGAGATGCCAGAGGGCAAGTCCCCTGCCCCCTGGGCCCCGCCCTCCAGCAGGTCTCGGGGGTCCCTGAGGAAGACCACCATGACCGTGATGTTGTCGTGGGAGCCCCGCTCCCGGGCTGCAGCCACCAGTTCCTCAGCGACGTGCAGCCCACTGCCCTGCTGCCTGACTAGGTGGCTCTGGATGAGGCCAGCCACGTCCTGGTGGGGGACAACGTCGAAGAAGCCGTCGCAGGCGAGCAGCAGGTAGTCCTCGGAGCCTGTCAGCTCTCGGGAGGCTGCGTCCGCCTCCCCAGACACGTAGGGCTTCTGGGAGATGTCCCCTGGGCACGGGAGAGAAGGGCCTCATGTTAGAAGGCCCCGCTGCCTGCTGTTCCTGCCCGTCCCGCCAGGCCTGGCCTCCCTGTGGCCAGCCCCCGCGCCCGCACTCATGGCACGAGGACACGGGGGTGAAAAACTCTCCTCACACTGAGGAGAACAGCAGGGCGGTGTGGCCGGTTGAGCCTGGTGTCCCTGAGGCAGCGAGGCCCGAGTTCAGCTCCACAAGGCAGCTTTCTCACTCCAGTGGAGCCGGACCCTGAGCGGGCGGCTGAGGACACTGCACAGGCTGCGGCCCTGGCCCTTCCGAGCTCCCGCCAGCCCCAACAGGCACCTCAACTGAGCGTGTCCAAACACTCGCTCTTCCTCCCTCACCCCTGCTCTTCCAGTCTCCCCATCACAGAAAACAGCGCCACGATCCCCCCAGGTCCTTACGCCCAAATCCGTGGGTTCCCTCTCTCTCCCTCATGCCCCACATGCAATCCACTAGCAAGTCCTGTCGAGCTGCATTTACCTTCAAAACGCAACTCGAACTCATGTCCCCTCCTCATTTCTCCAGCTCACACCTCACCCAGACCCCGCAGAGCTTCCGGTCAGTCCCCCTCCTTCCACTCTCACCCCGACAGGCCCTTCACCACGGAGCGGGACTAGACCACATGGCCCCCTGACACGGGACCGCCTGGAGCTTCCGCTCCCCTTGGACGGGCCGGTCCGTGCCTCCACTCCCCGTCCCGGGGTGTCCAGGGACAACTGCAGAAGCAGCAAGGAGAAGGGCTCTACTGCAGGCAGCACATGTGGCGAGAAGGACAGAAGGATTCAGGAGGCTGGAGGGACAGAGGTCGCACGGCAGGGGCGGCAGGGAGCGAGGGATTTCTAAGTACTTGGAGGGAGACGTGCAGGTGCTGAGAAAATAGGATGGGGGCGCTGCTTTACTTTATATTTTAAAAGATAGAAAAAAATCATCAGCATGATGGGGGGAGGGGAATAAGCTTCATGTACAGAATATTTAAAAACCATCTTTCAGCACATGCCGCAGCTAGCCAAGGGCTGCCTGCTAGATTTTTCTGAGGAACTGTTTTCACGAAGAACAAACAACATATAAGTTAAACTGCAATTATTTGTGTGAGATGAAAGTTTCTACGGTGTCTGTGCCTGCCCTTTCTAAAGTCATCTGAGTCCCTTCACCATCAGATGGATGACACCACCCTGGAGACCCGCACATGACACTGCCGTCCCAAACAGCTGGGTGAGCCTGCGGGCCTTGAGAGGTCAGGAGGCCTAGGCCCTGGGCAGCCTTCCCTTCCCAGCCCCCCCTTCCTTACCAATGGCTCTGGAGACAGCCAGGGTCCCATTGACTCTCCAGCAGTCCATGTGACACACAAAGCCACCCAGTGCTTCAATGCGCTCCCTCTCGTCCTGCAGGAGATACCAGAGTGGGGCCTGGGTGTGGGGGCAGGCGGGTGCCTGGTGCTGGCACTCGAAAGGAGATGAGCTGGTTTCTAAAACAGCATTGGGAGCCACGGCTCTTGAACAATGCCCAAAGGAGGCACTAGCAAAACAGCGAGTAATTACAAATAACCTCAACGTCCTTCAGTTGCAGGAATGGCTCAACAGGTTATGGTGCAAACAGATGGACCGCCCTCGGCTGACGGCTGCCTCCTCTGCGTTTTGGGGTTATGGAGATGCTCAGGAGGCAGCAGAGAGACCGCGCACCCCAGGGTCAGGTGGCGGGTCCCACAGCTGCCTCACTTTTCATGTGGGGACACTGTCCCTTCTTTGTGAGCTGCATGTGGCCACTCGGCAGGGCTGGGCGAGGAATGTTGCCTTTGCGTCCAAGTGAGGACCCTGAGGCTCAGACAGGTGAGTGACCTCTGGGTCCCAGCGTAGCCTCTGCTCAATGAAGCCCCACCCTGGTTCCTTCAACTCTGGCTCAGCGTCACCTCCTCCCTGAAGCCCTTCGCCCCCAGAGCCCAGGTGGTCAGCTATTCCTTGCTCATGTGCATGACAGGGCCCTGCCTGTTGACCTCACTTACTGGGCTGCCTGCCGGGGCAGAGGGCCCGGCTCTTCCCTGCAGCTATGGGCTCCGTGTTGCTGTGACAGGAAGGGGTCACTTGGGATGCCCGGCTGTTAAAGCCCCAAGCTTTAGGGGATCCCAGCTGCTCCAGTCAGGCAGGGGAGCCCCCCCTCTGGAGAAGCACCGGGAATGTCCTGAGAAAATGGGCCCCTTTTGCTTCTTCATCCACCTGACCAGGTGCTTCCCCACGTGGCCCAGCATGATGGGGGCCAGGGATGTCCTGGGCATGGATGGACAGAGCCCCTTACCTGTCGCTCGGGTCTGTGCGGCTCCATCAGCTTCACCACCTGTCCCTGCTGCACCAGGATGATCTGAGAGTCCCCGAGCCAGGCGACGTGCAGGGTCTTTCCTGCGACGAGTGCACACACACCTGTGGTGCCGCTCTGCAGCCGCTGCAGGGAGAGAGGCCCGCGCGGGGTGAGGGCAGGACCGGGAGCCCATGCCACAGGCACACACCTGTCCAGACTGAGTGGCAGGTGGAAGAGAGCTCGGCCAGAAAGGGGAATCAACCGCTGATGCATGCAAGGGCCCCAATGAATCTCATAAGGCTTATGCAGCATGAAAGGAGAGCATGTGCTGTGTGGTCCCCTTGATCAAACTCTAGAAAACACACTCTATTGTCTGTAGTGTCAGGAAGCAGACAAGTGGGTGTCTGGGGAGGAGGTGGGCAGAAGAGGGGACAATGAAGGATGGGAAGAAACTATTGGGGTGACAGAAATGTCCGCTATTGTGGGGAAGGTTACAGGGCGTAGACAAACGTCCGAACCTATCAAATTGTACACTTTAAATATATGCAATGTATCATGTGTCAATTAGATCTCAATAAAGTGGTTTTAAAAATCATAATAAATGAAATTAAACACCTGCTTCAGGGAATCCTTTCTCACCTCCTGGGGTGACAGTGGCCAGGAAGGTCAGGGTGTGCCAGCTTGTCACTGGGCTCCCACCTCACAACTTTGGATGCTGGATGGTTTTCTGTTAAGATGCAAAGTCCGGCTTTGCTGATTTCTGTTGAGGTCTGTGCTCAGAGCGTCTAATGACACTGCACCACCCCCAAGTCTCCTCACGAGCCATGTCAACTGGGGCAGGTCTTTTAAGCTCTCTGGGCCTCAGATTCCTGATGTCCAAAATGGACACACATGTAGTACCTGGCCTGCAGGGAAGCAGTGGGGTTCAGTGGGCAGTGAATTCACAGGGAGGGGCCGAAGCGTTCTTTCTTCTCGCAGGAACACACACCTCGTCCCTGTGTGGCCATAACTCGTGAGGAAAGAGCCTTCCCAGCAGGTACCAGCAGCCCGCTGAGACCCTGCCCAGGAGAGCAGGAGGAGGGGGGCTGCTATTAATCATGTTTTGTTTTCTGTATTTTATGACGCTTTGACAAGTTGGTGGACTTGCTAATCTTCGAGAGAATGCCCCACCCAGGACTAGCCAATTCCTAAATACAGCGAGCATCTCCGGGAGCGTGCCTTTCATGACCAGCCAGACAGTGTCTTCAACCACCTCCTCTGTCCCTTGTGCCAGGCCAATGCTTCCCCGAGCCTGGAAGGCTTGGGCATGGCCCGGAACCTGGAGCCTGTCAAGGTTATTCACACTGTCCAATCCTAAGCTTGCTGTGACTTGCCTGCCCTGCCTCACCCATGCCTTCCTGTGGAGGCCACAGCTCTGGCCATATTTTCCTCACTCCCTCTGCCTCCTGACCGACCCTGGTGCCTCTCCACATGGCCCTGCGTGGTGGCGGCTCCTCTTGGGAACCGTAAGTCATAAACTCCTCTCTCAAGGCAGGTGTCTCCATGCCTGTCATCTCACCATACCTGATTAAAACAAAATACTGGGCACATTTTAAAATAGGCTGCCCTTCCCTGTGAGGCCTGTACACCCTCTGCATAGAGGCAGGTCTGTATTGCTGCGGGGCCAGGTGTGCTGGATCAGAAGCAAGCTGTATGCTGCTCCTATTCAAACGAAAAACAAGCCCCCTTTACTGTAAGAATGAAATTACGGGACTACCAGCAGAGTTCAGTGAGGACCTTCTGACATCCCAACCACTCTGATTTCTTTCCCTCTGCAGCCCTGGGTCTCTTGGGTACTAATGGCTACTGACCCCCAAACTGCACACGAGGCCTGTCTGCTGGTTCTCACCTCTCGCTTGGCTTTCCAAAGAAACATCTCATCGGTGTGCCGGAAGGCTTCTCTGAGGGCTCCCGCAGGGTCTGTGGGCAGCTCTGGCTGCCGGGCAGCATTGGCGTGCACGTGCACAGCGGCGTATCTCGCAGCATCCACCCCTCCGTGACCGTCAAACACGGCAAAGTAGGCGCGGTCCACGGGGTCCTGGTGGGGAATACAGTGAGAGTCACAGCCCTGCCTGCTGGCCCCGAGCCTGATCAAGGCTGTGACCTGGCCAGAGGCTCTCGCCTGGGGTAGAGCCTGGGTGCTGTCTGGGGTAGGGTCTGGAAGAACAGCCTGGCCTTTGCCATCAGACAAGCCAACCTGGGTCAAGCACTTATGAGCTGGGACATTTGGAAAAGGACAACCCTCCAGAGCCTCAGTTTCACCTCTGTCCCAAGTGGCTGGGTGCATAAAACGAGGTAAGATGTACCAGGTGGCTCCTGGTGCTGGAAACAGAGCAGGGCTCAGCCACCACGAGTCTGAGATGAACGTGGTGTCCAGGGTCTCCCCTATAACAGACGTGGGCAAACCACCTCCTTTCCTCAGTCCCTCAGCTGGGAAGTCAAGGTGGCTGGTGGCTGCCCTGGCCTGGAAGTGCTAGGACGATGAATGGCACCTCCTGGTACCTTGGGAAGTGCTCTGAGAGCCGCCTGGGACCTGGGCCTTTAGGTGGCCACTGTAGGCATCACTCTTGCCTCAGCTCTGGCAGACAGCTCTGCTCAGCATCCAGGGCGTCCCCCACATGCTGCGCAAGCTGTCCTACACTGTCCTGACTGGGGACACTGACCTCACGCGCCGCCACGTGGCCCGGGAGGTGGGGCACTAGAGGTGGCACACTCACGGGCAGGCCGAAAAGCTGGTTGAAGGCAGGAAGGCACACGTGCCGATCCTCCATCTTGCGGCGAGTATTCCGGATGGCATGGATGGAGACCAGCCACTGCCTCTGTGGAACCTGGGCAGTCAAGGCCACCTGCTTCTGCCACTGGCTGCATACTTCCCAGAGCTGGTTAAAGAAAGTCCTTGCCAGGCCCTCGGCATCCAGCACTGATGGGCACAATGGAGGATTGTTAGGAAGCACCAAGGCAGGCCCGCCGAGGCTCCCCTTGCTCTCTTTGCCCCCTTTCCTGTGGCCCCTGCAGCTCTCGACAGCCCCCATCACAGGCCTGCACATGCCCCACCAGCCTGTCACTCCCCGGGGCATTCTGAGTACACCAGCCTAATGCACTATGCATGACAGCCTGTGTCATCAGCTGTGAGAAATGTCTGGTTTGGCAATATGTGCCAGGAGCCTCCTGGCCCACAGCAGAGCAACTCCACTCATGGGAGCCCATCTCAAGGAAATGCAAAGATAATTTAAGGACTAAGTACAGAATCACTTATAACTGTGCATTAATTAGAAACAACATATATCCAATGACAGAGTAAATTATGGTCTATTCTCTGATGAAGAATTAAGCTGGTACTAAAAATGATTTTCGCAACTAAACATGCAACTGCCATGCAACCCAGCGACTGCACCCCAGGCATCTACCCAGAGAAAGGAAGGCTACGTTCACACCAAGACCTGTGCCAGAAAGTTCACAGCGGCTTTAACTGGAACAGCTGAAAACTTGAATTGGCCCAGGTGTCCTTCAACACGTGAATGGTTAAACAAACTTTGGCACCACACGCCACGGAATACTACTCACAGAGGAAAGGAAGGGGCTGCCGACACACACACACTGGGATGAATCTCCAGAGAATTAGGCTGAGCGGAAAAAGCCAATCCCCCAAATTACGTACTGTATGATTCCGTTTCTATGCACTCTTGACATGACAAAATTATAGAAATAGAGATGATTCATGGTTGTCAGGGGTTCAGGCAGCGGGAGGGGTGTTAGGGTGGCCATAAACGATGACATGAGGGATCCTTTTGGGATGACACTGTTCGGTATCTCAACTGTGTCAAGGTCCTGGTTTTACTACTTTTTTGCAAGATGTTACCGCTGGGGGAAACTGGGTGAAGGATACATGGGACCTTTCTGTATTATTTCTTAAATTGCAGATGAGGCTATAGTTATCTCAAATTAAAGGTTAATTAAAAAAACTGAAGAGTAAAACAAAAATGGACTTCGTACTACAGAATTTGCAAGCATGTAAAATGCTTATATCATGATAGTAAGGAAAAACATTCATGTTAAGAAAAAATGTTGTAAAAAAAGGAGGATAGAAAATTCTACATACAGTTTGATGATGAGTACATGAAAAAGCCTTCCACCACTTGGACCAAGAAAATAAAAGGCAGGAAAGGCCTACACCCAAAATGTCAGCAGTGGGTGTCTGCAAGTGGTGGTTCTGTGGGTGATGTTTTTTCTTACATACACTTTTTTAGCGCTTTCTCAATTTTCCTTTACAAGTATTAGGGCCAGATGATGGTTTTAAAATATGTCCATAAATTCTTTGATACTTCTCCCTTCAAGAGTGGGAGCCTAATTCCCTTCTCTGGAGTGTGGGACTTAGTGACCTGCTTCTAATGAGTAGAACAAAACAGAAGTGACTGTGAGTGGCTTCAGACCCTGGGTCCTAAGAGGTGCTGTGGCTTCCACCTTGTGTGCTCTCTCCCTATTACTCTGTCTCCGTCTGTCTCCCTTGGGAATCACTGGCTCAGGGGAAGCCAGTTGCCATGCTATGAGGATGCTCAAGCAGCCCTGGCGGAGACCATGTGGTGAGGAGCTGAGGCCTCCTGCCCAGAGCTGTGTGATGGACCATCTTGCAAGTGGAACCTCCGCCTCCCTGGCCTTTGTCACAACCCCATGAGAGACCCTGGGCCAAAACCACCAGCTCAGCTGCTCCCAAATTCCAGACTCACAGAAACAGTGGGATAATGAATGTTTACTGTTTTAAGCCACTAAATTTGGGGGCAATTTGTCATGTAGTAACAGGTAATACCCCCCATAACACAAATTTTAAAAGAAAAACCCCAATCCTACCTAAACCTGGCTTCTAAAGAAAACATTAACAAGGAAAGGTCCAAAGAAAACCTCGGGTGCTGTGCCTCAGAGACTCAGCTCATTCGACGCACAAACCCCTCCTGGCCCAGGTGCGTTCAGCAGGTACAGGTGAGTCAGGGCCAGTCACTGGGGGGTGGAGGGGGTTCAAGGGCAAGTAATTGAAAACAGGGCAGACTCCGAGGAGTGTTGCAGGCCACACTCAAGGGACTCAGCGAGTTGGAGAAGGAAGAGCTCCTGCCCAAAGGTGGTGGCTGCAGAAGGAGGAAGGGCTGAGGCCAGGGGAAGCCTGGAGGGTCTGTGAGTGCAGAGGGGCATTGGGAGACACATCAGATTCGATGCATCAAGGGAGGGGTGGGGGTGGGGTTGAATTGGTGGCTGCCACCACACCCAGGATGCGAGGGCCATTCAGGTGTTTGGGAGAACTGGGGGACCGGCAGGGCTGGCCTAAGGGGCTGTGGGTGTGGGAAGGCTCAGCTCAGGGAAGACAGGCCCATATGCGCTTGGCCCAAGGGATGGACTCCTGCCAACAAGTCAGACACCCACTCGTTCAGTTGGTCTGTAGGTGCTGCCTCCCCGCCCTCCCTCTCTCCTCTGTGACGGCTGTGCTCAGATGGCTGCCCTGCCCACCAGGACTCTTTTTCTCTCCCTCAGGAAACCCCACGCTCTGTGCTCTAGCAAGCCTGAAACACCCAGGGAGGCACACGATGCCCTTAGGTTGTGCTACTGTCTCCATCAACATGTTTAAACTTGAATCTTGGCTCCAGCGAAGGGCAATTACCACTGAGAATGATAAGCAACGGGAGGATCCCAGGCCCAGAGAGTCCTGAGGCTGCTCTCAGGGGCACTCACAGGAAGTGCTCACTGGGGAGGGGCCGGCGGAGGCTCCACCTGCCCAGGCCACACAGTCTTAGTCCCATCTCTGCCCCTGGTCAGTGATTCTTACAACACCTGCCATGACGCTCATTTTGCAAGAATGGCTTTGAGATGATAGACTACTATGTTCCGCTCCCATGACAGGAACCAAATGATCAAGGCCGAGCCTAGGCCTGTGTGGAGGGCAGGGGCCGCCTGCGACTTCCTCCTGTGTGGGCCCCTCCCTCTTTCACCGCGGGTGGCAGGAGCCCCCAGGTGTAGGGTCGGGCTGGTGTCGGCCGCCAGCAGGTGGCGCTGATTTCCCGCTAGGACGGCAGGCTGGCAGGCACTCCCTTTGTGTGCCTAGAGCCAGGCGGCTTTGCAGAGGACAATGGGTGTCTGTCACTGTGCACCACTGTCTCCTGCGCCTGGCAGGCGGGAAGGCGAGGTTGTGCTGGAATGGAGCTCGGGCAGGGAGCCAGGGAAAAGGGCAGGGCACGCGGACGAGAAGGGCTGGCACCCACTGCAGTGAGAGGCTGCCTGTGTTTGTCTTCTCTCTTCCCACCTGTTCTCGCTCTGCCCTCAATGTGGGCACCAATGTTGAGTTTAAAGTAATAGTCAGATAATAACTATGTGACATGATGGAGGGGTTAGCTGATACTAAGGTGGTAACATATGCAATATATAAACCTATCATGTCAACACACTGTATACCCTAAACTTACACGATGTTATATGTCAATTACATCTCAATTAAAAATAGTAATAAGGGGGCTGGCCCCGTGGCTTAGCGGTTAAGTGCGTGCACTCCACCACTGGTGGCCCGGGTTCGGATCCCGGGCGCGCACCGACGCACCGCTTCTCTGGCCATGCTGAGGCCGCGTCCCACATACAGCAGCTAGAAGGACGTGCAACTGTGACATACAACTATCTACTGGGGCTTTGGGGATAAAAAAAATGGGGAGGATTGGCAATAGATGTTAGCTCAGAGCCGGTCTTCCTCAGCAAGAAGAGGAGGATTAGCACGATGTTAGCTCAGGGCTGATCTTCCTCACAAAAAAAAAAAAAAAAAGTAATAAGGTAACAACTCAGATAGGAAATGGCAAAGGAAGGGAAATCCACCAAAGGTCCCCCTGCTCCGATAGCCAGCGCTGGGCCCCGGGGACCCACTCTGCTCTGCATCCCAACCACCCCGCAGCCCTGTTGTGGCCTGGGCTGCACCCTTCTCCGGCGAGGGTGGAGTGAACGATGCCTGTGCCAAGCCCAGGCCACGGAACACCCCGCCACGGCCCATGGAACACTTGGCCATGGCCCTCAGGCTGAGTGGCTCTCACTCTTTGCAGTTCTGGTCCCACATGAACAGACACTTGGGTGATGTACAACAGAAAGGAATTACTAGCAAAGTGAAAGAAAGACACACAAAGTAAGAGTCCTGCCTTTCCACGAGGAAGCTCCCTTCCTGCTTCTGGGCTCCTCTGGCCCGCAGCGTGGCTCAGGGCCTGCCCCGCTGACCGCTGTCCCGGGGACAGGCCGACAGACAAGCCTCCATTGGTGCTTCCCCAAGCTCTTGTGGACACCACTGAATCTCCACCTGACAGGGTCCTGACTTGGGTCAGCCCAGGCAATGGGTCTGAGCTCTGGTGTTTTCTACTAGCTGGACCCCGAGGCCGCCCCTGGGGACTGCTCCCATGTCACCCTCCGACTCCGACGTCACCATGGGGTGATGTCAGCTGAGGCAGAAGAGCAGGTGCTTGAGCATGAGTTAGCACCTTGGTTTCCTCCCGTGTAACATGGGACAGGCTGCTCTGAGGCTCAGTGAGTTGGCTGCAGCCCCGCCGACCTCATGCTGGTGTGAGTGCTTCCTCTGCGTCTTGATTCTGCCATCCTGTTCTGAGCATGCGCACCCGGCACTGCCCCTTCCGGCCCTCCAGTCATGTGATGCCCACAACCGCCCTTCCAGCAGCAAAGTGAGAATGGAAATGGAGTCCAGGTGAGCCCTCACACCTCCCAAACCGGCGCTCCCTTGCGGCCTGTCCCTTGTCTGGCAGCGAGTCTGTTGCCTGCTAAGCCCAGGGGGCCCCAAGAGGGAGGAGAACTCACAGGTCACAGGGGCCTTCTCCTCTTCCTTGTCGTGGTCCTCCTCCTCTTCCTGCCTGGGCAACATCTTGAATTCAGACAGGTCTGTCTGCAGCAGCTGGGAAACTGCCTCATGGGCCAGACATGAAGCAAGCAGTGGTGGAGCATTCCTGGGGACAGGAACAAGAAGTGAAGGGGGGCTGGCTCCTCGGCAGAAGCCAATACCCCAGAGCCTGCCCAAATGCTCCAGACGGAAACCTCGGGCTCCTTTCCACTCAGGGAGGCCCTTCTGGAGGTAGCGATCACCAGCCACACTGCAGTTGTGCGGCCACGATGAGCAGGTCAGCCTCTGGTCCTCAGGGGAGCTGAACAGGACGTCCACGCAATGCCATTTACTGGGGCCCGTGCTGCACCAAACGTGGGTTGGGGCTGGTGGGGAGGAGGTGTCACAGACGTGTAAGATTGCCGGCTGGCCTTGGCAGCCAGGTCAGACAAATGCCCAACATCTAGCCTGATGAGAGCTCCTGGTCACCAATACCAGCTGGGGACCCCTGGGGGTTGGGAATCTTATGGGTTGAACTGTGTCCCCTAAAATTCCTATGCTGAAGTTCTAACCCCCTAGTGCCTCAGAAAGTGACCTTATTTGGAAATGGGGTTGTTGGAGATGCAATTAGTTAAAATGAGGTCATACTGGAGTAGGATTGGCCCCTAATCCAATAACAATGGTGTCCTTATCAAAGAGGAAATCTGGACATAGACACACACAGGGAGAAGCCATGGGAAGATGAAGGCAGAGACTGGAGTGAAGAGCCTACAAGCCAAGGACTGCCGGCAACAACCAAAAGGAACCAGCCCTGCCGTCACCTTGATCTCAGACTTCCGGCCTCCAGAGCTCTGAGACAACACATTTCTGTGGTTTAAGGCACCAGGCTGTGGGACTTTGTTACGGCTGCCCCAGGAAAGGAATCCAGGAGCATGGGACCCACAAGCTGCGTCTGGAGGGCCAGGCTGTACACCACCCACAGGGTCCCTGGGCAAAGCAGGCTGTCAGGCGGATGGTGCATGAGGGCGCTGGGCAGGGGGCAGGTGTCAGGACAACGGGGAGCCACGACCCTGGTGTGTTCTGAAGAGGGATGTGACATGATCACATCAGGCTTTTAGACCTCTCTGGCCTCAACATGGAGGGTGGACTGAAGAGCCAACACTGGGTGGAGGCCAAGGCCCAAGCTGGGCAAGGCCTGGCAGTGGATGGGAGGGGACAGAGCAAGCGTTGGGCAGGGGACCAGATGGGGATGGGTTCCGTGTCCACAGCAAGTCACAGGTTCTGCTGAGGTCGAGAGGCCTGGGCTGGTGGGCATGTGGTCTGGACAGGAGATGGAGCCTCGGAACGGATCGGGGTGGGGGCTGCAGCTGAAAGAGCTTGCCCGGGAGGAGGGGAGCAGGGCAGAGAGCAGCTGGAGAAGTGGGGTGACCCCAGGGGTGGCCACCTGGGGCAGTGGAAGTGAGACTTGGCTGACTGCTTCGAAGGTCACAGACAGGCCGCCCAGAGCAGAGCTGAGGGTTGGAGTAGGCAGGGGTGGGAAAGCAAACGGAGGGAGAAGTGGGAACCTTGTGCACAGGAGAGGGACGAGTGGCAGCTCCCGGCAAGTCCTGGGGATGGAGAGACTGAGGCCAGTGCGGAATGACTCTCGGAAATTCTGCCACACGTGCACCTTTCCACGGGCTCCCGGGCCTGCCTGCCAGCCCCCCTGCCTCAGGGACCGGCTCCCACAGCACGTCCATGGGAAGCCCTCCCTGGCTCCCCAGGCATAAGGGATCCATCCTTCTGGTGCCCCTACAGCCTCTAGGATGCATCCTGACCCTGGAATCTGCCTCCCCACCAGTGGGAGCCCCTCACAGGCTGAAGGATGTGCACCCCCAACCCCCACTGCCCGTTTGCCTGTCCCTGAGGGCTGGGGGCCAACATCCAGGGCGGCCAAGGATTTTCTGCTGGGCCGACACACCCGGCTTTGCCCTGAGGGCAAGGACTTCCCAACAGCCAGGCGGATGGCCAAGTCTCCTTGTGGGCTGGGCGTCCATGCTGCGTCTACTGATGGTCTTAGGACTCTACCAGCATGAATTTGTGATGCTTTAAAATGAGAGGGTGACTCAGGGTAGAAGCCTCTGGAACAGCCTTTGAAAAACAACCAGCCAAGACATGAGAAATGAGTTCCTCTGCTGTCAGGGGATTTCCTGCCAACCGCTGGGTTTTCCTTTTTCACAGCAGGGAGCAGGGGCGCCTGTTCTCCTCATGCCAGTGAGGTCGGTGAGGTTGGCTGTGGCTTCCTGCAGGCCCGAGAGGCCGCTGGGGGCAGGGAGCAGCTTCCGGCAGTGGGGACCCAGACAATGCCTGGCCGTGGGCCACGGGCCTTGCTTCCTGGACGCCCCTCCCACCTCATCCAGGGGGCCCACCCGAGATGCAACCCCCCCCATCCAGGGAAGGTGTGTGCACGGCCCAGGGACCCGCCCACCTCGGGGTTTTCAAGGAGCTTACATCCAGCAGCAGAGATGAAAATGCACATAAATAATTATAGTGTGAGGTATGCACTGCTGGGGACCCGAGGTGTGACACAGGACCACTAACAACGGGAAAGGACATAAGTCACCGCGCCCGTGAACTCGATGCTCTGACTGCCAGACAGTCTCGTGGGGACGCCATCTACAGTCTGAGCAAACCCCATGGACCCACATGCTCGGGCCTTACACCCAGAGCCGGCGCTCCAGCCGTGGGACGGGAAGCAAAGCTGGAGGGGGCCCGCCCAGCGTGTAGGGGTGCCCGACAGTCACACGCAGTGCAAACAACCTGTGACCACACACGTGAGCATCTGCAACTACGTAGGGAACAACTACTAGAAAAGGACAAAAATAACTGAAAATAAATCCCTTGAGATGGCTGGGAAATATAGGACAATACATTTTCAGATGGATTCACAGAGGGGTCTAAGCGGGCCATGGGAAGCTCTGGAGAGGCCTGTGCTGCCCCCTCCACCTCAGGCCCTGGGGGCCAAGACCCCTGGCTTCTCCCCCATCACTAATGGTCTCAGACCTGTTCTGTCATCCCGCTAATTAACGAGGTGCCTGTTCAACAACACCTGAGCCTGGAGCCTGCTGCCCTCCTCCCGGTCTCAGCCTCGCCTGCCGCCAGGGCCTCAAGGGGCCCCACTCCACCTTGAATAAGTTCTGGTTTTCCCTACTTTTAGCTTGAGACACCCTCCCTCCATCTTAATTAAAACTCACCCCCCCAAGGCCATGTGCCCCGGCAGACCCCTCCAAACGACCCCCGACTTCTCCAGCTCAGGCTTGTCCCTGGGCAGGAGGGCAGGTCACCTGCTCCTGCTGCTGCCCGGCCACCCCCTCTTCCTCACGCCTCCCATTTCCACTGCTGTGAAGCAAAACCAGTCCCACCATCTGGGATCCTCCCCCACGCATGGGGCACGTGCCTTCTCTGTGCCCTCTCCTCCCCCAACCTGAGAACTGATGGCTCAGGCTGGAGTCCCTCCCAGGTCCCACGCTGTGGCTTGTCCCTCCTGATGCTGTGCTACCAGCCCAGAGGCCGGGGTAACTTGGGCTCTGTTGTCACCCAGGACAGCTTTCCTGCCTCGATCCCCAGCTCATTTCTTCTTTATCCCCATGGACACGTCATCCTTGTCCTCTCGCTCTCCTCAGAACCCAGGCTAGCAAGCAGGAGTGGCAGGGGCACCAATCCCTCAGGGCCTGACTTTCGTCCCTCGGCCCGAGTCCCCATGGAAGGCCCAGTGGCTGCTGGGGGGACAGACACGGTGGCCCCGGGGCCCTTGACTTCTCTTCTCCCCTCTGAGTGCAGCCACTTGCCCCCTCTCCTCCATCCCTCCTTCCTTTGTGCTGGGCCCCAAGGAAGGCAGAGCTCCACCCACTCCTGCACCCAGCACCCCGGCGGCAGCGTCAGGCCCAGGCAGGCTCTGCTCCACGGATCCACTTTACACTGCCTGCCTCTAAAATATTTCCTCAAAGCAAAGAAAACAAGCCAATACCACCCTCTGCACAGGCCACACCCCGAGGGACGTGGTCACTGGGCATTTCCTCCGGAGCTCTGTGGGGCTGTGGGGGATACCGGGGTGGATGTGGCCCTGCAGCTGGCCCTCAGCCTTCGTGCTCAGCAAGGACACGCGAGTTGTAGACTCTGCTGGGGCCTTGGGGGTCCTAAGAAGCAGGCCCTCAGGTGGTGTGCAGATGGAAGTGACCTGCCACAAATGAAGCACTCTTGGGGACACTAAGATGCCAGCGCACAGAGGCCAGGGAGCGTCCCAGCTTCAGGGGATTTGCAGATGACCTGTGGGTGATGCAGTCACTAGGGACGGTGGGCATGGCCCCTTGGGGAGGGACGAGGCTCACATGGACGCTGCGTGGCCCACCAGCCCGTACCACCTGGAACCTCCCGTGTGGGCTACAGGCAGGCACGCTGCTCTCTCTCTCCCCCGAATCTGCAAAGCTGGTTGCTGTGCCTCCTCCCTGCACTGGGCACACGGCCTGGCCCTGGCCCGCCCTGAGCACGAGGCCTCAGGCCAGTCTCTTAACCCACCTGCCCTCTGTCTCCCGTCTGTGAAACGGGACAGAAACAGGACCTACTGTTTAGCACCTGTCATGGGTTGAATTGTGTCCCCCAAAAGATACACTGGAGTCCTAACCTGCAGAGGCTCAGAATGTGACCTGATCTGGAATTAGGATCTTTGCAGGTGTCAGATGAATTCATACTGGAGCAGCGATATGGAGCAGGCCCCATATCCACTGGGACTGGCGTCCTTACAAGAGGAGGAGAAGAGGCACAGACAGGGAGAGACCACCACATGAAGACACAGACACATGGGGAGGACACCATGTGACAATGAAGGCCACATTGGATTGTGTGTCTACATACCAAGGAACACCAAGGACTGCTGGCAACACCAGAAGCTAGGAGATTTTCCTCAAATCTCTGTTTGAGAGAACATGGCCCTACCGACACCTTGATCTCTGACCTCCGGCCTCCAGAACTGTGAGACAACACATTTCTGTTGTTCTAAGCCCCTCAGTCTGTGGTACGCTGTTAGGGCCGCCCTGGGAAACCAACACAGCACTGTCCCGGGGATTCACAGAGGGAACACACTGGCACAGAGCAGGACATGTGGAGTAAACGGCAGCCAGGTCAAGGGCAGCAGGTGGCACATGCCAAGCCCCTCATTCGCATCCTGTGCTGCCACGCCCAGCAGCGGCCCAGCCTACCTGCTGGCCAGGAAGCCCATCACCATCTCGGCCAGCTCGCCCTCCACCTCCTCCTGGCTCAGTGCTGTCCCCGGGACCTTCCAGGGCAGAGGGCTCTCCAGGCTCAGTGGGGCTGGAAAGTCGTGGAGGAGTGCATCCAGGAAGCCTGGGGTCTCCTCTGCCATCTGGCTGCTCTGCTGTGGGGCTCCAGAGGCCATGCCCAGAGCATCTCGGGGGGCCTGCTGCTGGGGTTCCAGTTAGTCTTCACCCTGGGGAGAGATGTGAGGTCAGCAAAAACAGGGGGTGATCAGCGCCTTGCTCTTGGGGTACCTGCGCCCTCATGGGTGTGCATGGGCGCACGGTGCCTTGCTTTCTCTCCTTCACCTCCAACCATCACTTGGCAGGCGCTGCATGAAGCCTGGGGCCTCACTGCGGAAGGGCAGGGCAGCTCGGCTTCACAGAGTTCAGGGGGCCCAAGTAAGCAGGAGTGACAACCCTGGCCCATGTCCCGATGCAGATGGGATGCTCGGGAGCCTAGAGAATTGACTTCAGGGGACGGAGCCGGGAGCAGAGGCTGCATGGATGTCTCCAAGAAATGACAGAGAAGGAAGGCTTGTTCCTGGCAGAGGGTGGCTGATGTGGACAAAAGCGGGCAGGAGAGGGACCCAGGGCCAGGCCACTGAGGCAGGTGAACGTGGCAGGTGACCTGGGGAGCCAGGAGGTGAGGAAGTGATGCCATCAGGTCTGTGAGCCTAGAAGTGGTACCCAGAGGGGAGAAGGGACACCTGTTGGGGAAGGAAGAGAAGGGCCAGGCTGGTGACAAGGTCAACACGCAGCAGAGGGCTGGCCCTGGGCTGTTATGGAGACAGACCAGATGGGGAGCAGAGGGGGCTCCCCAGAGGCCGAGGGGTGCCCCAGGGCATGGGCCGGAGAGAAGCAGAGGGTTAACCCAGGACAGTCGGGGAGGTGGGGTGGCTCACACTTAGGATATGGGCAAGCCTATTAAATCCTCTCCAACAGGAGGAGGCCTGACCCTAGTAAGCAACAGCTAGAGGAGAGGCGCTGTGGACGGCCCAGACCGCTGACCCCGCCTCGAGGGCTCTTTCTCCTCGCATCCTTAGGAACGCTGAGGGCTTACTGGCTGCCAGGCCCCATGCATTGCCGCAACACCCCTGGGAGCCAGGACAAACCCCCATTTCACAGACGGGAACACTGAGACTTGGGGAGGGGCAGCACATCACCTGAAAATGGATGATGGGGTCCAGGAGGGATTGTGGAGCCCAAGCTCGTCACCACCCGACCTTACTCCTCCCACACGAGGGCCTCACCCACAGCTCCTGCCGCATCCTTCTCCCCAAGGTGGACCTCCAGCTCCTCAACCCTGGCTCAAGACCGCCGATGCACTGCCAGCCCACCCTCTCCACCTCACACATGCCCCCCTTTCTCCCCAGCCTGCCTGCCTCCTGGGTTCATGTGCTAGCGAAGGCCCTGTCTGTCAGACACCCCGACAGCCCCAAGGGCCCACCTGGACTCATGCCACCCACTCACAGCCCTCCAGACCCAAATGACCGCAGAGTGTCACCCTTCCATCATCCCTCCTGCCCCACCCGCCCCATTCACTCTCAGAGGGCTGCAGTCCAGCCTTCTCCAGGCTCCACTTCCTAACATGCATGTACGAGTGGGTCACCTCCCTGCCACCCGCTCAGCACAGGCCCTCCTCTCTCACCCCTTCCTCTCCAGCTGCTGCTCCCTCTGAGCCTTCCCAGGGCTGGGATGCCCCACGGGCTTCGGGAACATTCAGGCTGGGGAACTTTCTTCAGGAACGAATCCCATAAGTTTATCCCCCAGGGAAATAAACAGTGTTTCTTGCCTGTAACAAATTGACTCGTGAGTCCCAGCAGAACCCCGAGTTCTAGGAGGAGAATTTGAAGAGCGGTTTAATACTCATCCCCTTCCTGAGGGCTTCCAAGTTCTGAAGAGTGAATGGAGAGGCAGGACCACAGGAAAGATTCTTCCGAAATCACCCGTCTTAGAATACCTAAAGACCTTGCCTCCAGACTTTGCCAAAGGGCACCTGTGGTCAGGGGTCTGAAGCTGGAGGATGAAGGCAGCTCACTGCCCAGTGAAGAGCACAGCAGGGAGGGTCTAGAACTCAGGTAACAAGTCTTCTGGAAGAACAGAGGAAAATCACAAGGAGAGCAAGAGGGGGAGCCGAGGGGGAAGTTAAAGTCTAATCAGCAAAGGATTCGGAGGCAAAGGGAGGCAAGTTAAAAACACACAAAACCTCTCCCTCCTCTCAGATAAGAATTGAAAAAATTTTAAACTAGACGCATAGAAATAATACAGAAACGTGGGCTCTTGTGATGGAAGGTTACAGGGACAGACTTAAATTCACTGTTACCTTTCATGTTCACTCACAAGTAGAATAAATAAAATGTAGCCGTGGTTGCAAAAGGCAAACAGGTAAAAAGATAAAGAACGTAAAATAAAGCAAGCAAGCCAGGAGGAGAGCAGGCTGGACAACTGCACTCTAGCCACAGGGTGAGACTTCGTGAACGGAGGTGGTCAGGAAGGGCCGGGAGCCCTGCGGGGTTGTAAGGGTCAGCTGGGGAGACAGCTGCCCGCCAGCCAGCACCCGCGCCCATCCAGCGCCCGGCAGAGCTGCAGAGCGAGCATCAAGCCAAAGAAAAACAACAAGATGGCATGAATTTCCCAGCAGGTTCAGACGCCCTCGGGCCGAGAAAGAGGCTGAGCAGCCTCCTCTGCTAGGGAACTGCCCTGGCCTTCTGTTGCTTAGGGGAGAGAAATGTGAGTAATGCAGAGCTGCCCCTGAGCAACGGCTGGCGCCCCGGGTCGAGAAATGCTGCCCAGCTCCATGCAATTCTGAGCCTGGAGACAAATACTCTATAGGCATTGAAATCTCAGGCGGTGCAAGGTGCGTTCACGCAATGTCCGATTAGGATCAAAACCAGAGGGCAGCACGCTCACTGACCTCCCCAGACGCATGGGAGGGCCCCAGTTTGAGAAACCTCAGCCCACATCGTAGAGCACAGAATTCAAGACCATTCAGCCTCGACCTCACTTGCCGGTGGTGGTGTCTGCTGGACATTTCAGAATGCAGGAGCCTCCTCCTGGCCTCCCAGCCTTGGGATGCTGTTTCCTGGGCCTGGAGGCCCCTCCTCAGAGTCTGCCTGTTTCCCTTGGGGTTGGAGGCCCCTCCTCTCTGCACTGTGGCACTGCAGCCCTGGTCTCTGCCGAGCCCCTGCTCATGAGGGGCTGTAGTTCTGTGCCCTGTGTGGGCCTGGAGGGCAGCTTGCAACATGTGTGCTGAGTGGGGGCTGGGGGGCGAGGCAACACGAGAGTGACAGTGCTTGTGTGTAGGCTCGGCCGGCACCTGCCGGAGTGCAGGCTGGCTTACTCTCAGGGCCCGCGCCAGCTGCCCTCCTTTGCTACACAGAGCCCAGAGCCATCCTGGCTGCTGAGGAGCCACCAGACTTGTTTCTGCATCACCTGGCTGAGGCGAGGGCGAGGAGAGGAGCCAGGACATGGCTTTCCTTCTCTGCGGCCCAGCTGGGGTAAGGGACAAGAGTAATTTCCTTCCTTTTCTCAACAACTCCTGACTCTGATGTAGCCACACGGATATGAGCAAAACAATCCCTTCCTGGGGAGCCTGGGGCCTAGAGATAAAGGCAGGGGGAGGGGTGGGGGAATTCCTAACCCAAAGGAGGACCCAGAGGCAGCCCTGGGAGTGACAGGAGGGGTGGGGGACAGTGCCCTGGCCCTGAGCTCTAGCAGGATCAACTGGAGGGGATAGTCTCAGGAACGACCCAGTGGCTAGCAGGTGGGCAGCAGGACAAGGGGGTTCTGGATGAGGCGGAGCTGGGCCTGGTGCAAGGGGGTCCCAACTGGGGAGGCTGGTGAGAGGCTCAGCGGGGAGGGACTCGTGCGTGAGTCTGTGCAAGTCACCAAGGGCCTGGGGTGGGCATGGCAAGGACACTGGGCCCCCAACCCCCACTGCCACCTGCTTCGACCAGTCTGGCCAAATGTGGCCTGTGGCCGGGTCCTCCCAGCTCCTGGAACAATGCCCCTCTGTGCTGCTCACCAGCGGGCAGCCATGGTGGCGGGAATAACGGTGCTGCCAGCTCACCTCCGCCAGGGTCCCCCGGGGGCCGTCGCCGCTGAGCACACTTCCTGGATCACCTCTTTTCACCTCCTCACTTTATAGTGGGGGCTGCGGCATTCCAGCCAAGGAACTTGCCAAAGGTCCCCAGCAAAGTCCGACCGCGGGGCCTGGCTCCTAACTGCGACAGACACCCCGCCCACCCCTCACTGGTCACCAGCCCTGAGATGTGGCCTCTCTGACGGCCCCTTCTTTTATGTCTGTGCTCCCTGCCCTGGCGCAGCCCCTCACCTCCGTGCTCCTGTGCCTTGCCTCATGGCATTCCATTTTGCCCCTGAGACCTCTCGGAGCCAAGCTCTGCTGAAATTGTCACATCTGTGCGGTCCGGCAGGTGGTCTTCCGTGGCTCTAAGCTCTTCTGCTTGCACCTGACTTGTAAAAAGTCCATTCTTCCTTTTTTTCCATTTAAAATATTATTTTCCTCTAGTTTACTGGTTTTGATTCATAAGCTCAACTAATGCACATCTGCATTTTTCTAGGTGGTATGGACAAAATACCCGAGTCCTGATTGACTACAGAACCCGAGTGAAGAAGAAAACAACAGCAACCCTAGAAAAGCAAACTGCATCACTGTCACAAAAGGACTGTATTCGTTGTTAAAAATTTTTCCACTGGGGCCGGCCCAGTGGCACAGCGGTTAAGTGCGCGCGCTCCGCCGCGGTGGCCCCGGGGTTCGCAGGTTCAGATCCCGGGCACGCACCCACACACTGCTTGAGAAGCCATGCTGTGGCGGCGTCCTATGTAAAGTAGAGGAAGACGGGCACAGATGTTAGCCCAGGGCCAATCTTCCACAAGAAAAAAAAAAACGTGGGGAATTGGCATCAGATGTTAGCTCAGGGCTAGTCCTCCTTACACACACAAATTTTTTTTCTACAAATGGAGAATCTTATATCTTTATTTATAATCACTGGGAAGAGTTTGGTGTAAATCCTTCCAGTTCTTTTCCTACATACGTTTCTTTTTAAAGAATTTGTGGTGAAATATACATAACACCATTTACCATTCTACCCTTTTTTCTTTTTTTGTGCAGAGGACTAGCCCTGAGCTAACATCCAATACCAATCCTCCTCTTTTTGCTGAGGAAGACTGGCCCTGGGCTAACATCCGTGCCCATCTTCCTCCACTTTATACGGGACGCCACCACAGCATGGCTTGACAAGCGGTGCATCGGTGTGCGCAGGGGATCTGAACTTGTGAACCCCAGGCTGCCGAAGCAGAGCACGTGCACTTAACCGCTGCACCACCAGGCCGACCCTCATTCTACCCATTTTTAAGTGTAGAGTTCTGTGGCACTAAGCACATTCACACTGTTGTGCAACCAGCACTTTTTTACAGGCTTGGCTTTCTCACTAGATTATAAGCTTCCTGAGGTCAGGGAGCCAACCCCTGTCCTCTTGGGTGTAACACGGCCCTTTGCATGTGGCAGCTGGTAAGCGAGACGGCAAAGGGAAGGCGTCAGCTTCCTTCCACCACCACCAGTGGGTGGTGTGGGCTGAGACAGGCAGCCTGAGGCCTGGCACCTTCAAGGAGGAAGCTAAGATACTCTGTGGGACTAGGTGGGCAGCAGGGAAAGGTTTTACAGACAGGGCTGGCTTCAGGCGATATCTCAAAGGAATTCTACAGATGAACTTGCGTGGAGGTTTACAGTTTTCCAATGGCACTCAGAGTGGTATTCGTTTTGTTTACCTCTCACAGCTATGCTGAGAAGTACATGCTCTTAGGTCACACTGCAGATGAAGAAATATGCTGGGGGTGGGGGGTAAACAACACACCTGAGGTCACACACAGAGGAAATGGCAAAGCTGGACTCAGACGGGGTCTTCTGATGCCTTTGTCATTTCCACCTCAGTTGCAGGAGGAAAAGGGTGAAATTTGACAATAGGCCAGAAATGGGCATAAAGTCCAGAGATGACCTCAGAGTGCTGGCTTCACATTCTATCCCCCATGGTGGGAGCACAGCTCGGCCCACAGAACTTGCCCCAGAGAATCCCATGAGTACACGTGTCACTCAGGACATGTGTCCAGCTGAGTGAAAGGTGCGGGGGAGGAGTCCATCACCATGGACTAGGCCCCTCTACGTGTTAGGTTCTGCACTAAAATCCCTACAATCAGGTGCCATTTCTCCCTATTGCACAGAGAGGTTAAGGGGCTTGCCTGAGGTCACACAGCTGCAGCGGTGGAGCCCATGCCTATCTGACTGAGGTTCTATCTCACACATGCGGGGCTAAAGCAGCTGCTGCCCAACACTGGCTCTAACTAAAACACTTACCTCAGACACACTTGGGGGAGGGTCACGAGTGGGGGCAGATGCAGTCCAGCAAGGGTGCAGGGGTTGGTGGGGCAGGGGCCAGGGCGGTGGGCCCGGCCCAGATGCTCCTGGAGGGTGGGGTGGAAGGAGCTGGACCCCGGGACAACGGGGGCGCGTCACCCCTCTGCACCCTGTTCTGCCTCACGACCCTCGGTCCCCACCTGGTCTTCGGCTCGGCCACACCCCCGCCGGCGCCCTGGTTCTGCACCCTTGGCTTCCCAGCCCCCCAGGTCCCACCCAGGGTTCCTCGGGTCCCTGCCGCTCCCCCCGCTCTTCAGTCTCCGAGCCCCGCGGTCTCCTCATCTCGGCCTCCCTGCCTCCGCAGCCCCCCATTCCGCCCTCTCTGGCTCCTCAGCGCCCCGTTTCACCCGCGTACGCCTCGGACTCTTGAGCCCCGCCCTGGCGCCGCCAGCCCCCCGGTCCTGTGCCCGGGCTCTCTCACGCCGGGTCCCCGCGGGCCTCACCTGCACTCCGCCGCTGCGTGCCCAGCTCGCCGCTGCGTGCCCAGCTCGCCGCTCCGGCCAGCCCCGCCTACTTCCCGTCCCCGGCCGGCGCGGGCACCGCGCAAGCGCAGTCGAGCCCCGGGCGGGTGGGGCCGGGCCTCTGCTGCCCCCTGGCGGCCTCCCGGCCGGTGACTACAACCCTTTCCTTTCAGGTGGAGAAGAGATGGGCTCCTCCTGGAGGGTCGCGGGAGCACGCGGCCCACATCCTGGGCTCTGCAGCCAAGCTGCTCACGGGCGAGTTGCTTCACTTCTCAAGCCTTGGGTGGGTGAGTAGATGGGAGAAAGCCATCCCAACTCACAGCGCCCAGAAATTAAGCAACTTGTGCAGTCAACAGCTGGTAAGTGGCAGAGTAGGGATGCAAACCCAGACCGCCCAGGGCCTGCCATCCATCAGGCAATAAGGCACAAGGCCCGGGGCTCACCATACTGTTAGTGGCTGTATTAGTTTCTTCTTGCTGCTATGACAAATTACCACAGACTCACACAAATTTATTATTTACAGTTCTGGAGGTCAGAAGTCCTCAAGGTTTCAAGGCTAAGTTCAAGGTGTCAGCAGGATGTGTTACTTTCTGGGGGCACTAGGGGGACCCATTCTTTTGCCTTATCAGCTTCTAAAGACTGCCCATTCCTTGGCTAGTGTTCCCCTTCGATCTTCAAACCAGGAACGTTGGGGGGCCAGCAGGGTGGCGTAATGGTTAAGTTTGCATGCTCTGCTGTGGAGGCCCGGGGTCCCCGGGTTTGGACCCCAGGCGCGGACCTATGCACCGCTTATCAAGCCATGCTGTGGTGGTGTCCCATATACAAAATAGAGGAAGATGGACACAGATGTTAGTCCAGGACCAATCTTCCTCAGCAAAAAGAGGAAGATTGGCAACGGATGTTAGCTCAATGCCAATCTTCTTCTCCAAAAAACCCCCAAAAAACCAAATCAAAACAAAATCCAGGAATGTGGGGACAAGTCCTCCTCATGCTGCCATCTCTCTGGTTCCCTCCCCTGATTCCCTGTTCCATTTTTAAAGACCCTTGTGATGACATTGGGCCACCCAGATGATCCAGGATAATCTCCCTATTTTAAAGTCAGATGGTGAGCAACCTTACTTCCATCTGCAGCCCTGATTCCCCTTTACCACGTAATCTAACATCTGCACAGGTTCCTGGAGGAGGACATGGACATCTTTGGGGGGTCATTTTTCTGCCACCATAGAGGCCCACGAAAATGTTTTCTTTTAAAGCCAGAAGAAATAAGTGAACTTTTAGGTCAAAGAAAATGTTTTCATATATAATATGAATATATTCATCTTTATATCAATGCAGTTGTAAAGTATAATTTAAAAAATTTTTATGGAGGAAGGGCCCTCAGAAGTTCTACTGAGGGCCTGCCTACCCGACCTTCACGTCCACACACCGGCCTGCGTTCTCCCAGGAATTAAGGTCTCTGGGATGCTTCACTAACAGGAGGGGTTCAGGGAAGCCAGGAACCTGGAGAACTGGCAATTGGCAGGTATGAAAGGAAACCATCTGGGGTAGGGGTGGGTCTGGAAGGCAGGGCTGTCTGGGCAGAGAAAGCAGGTGGGAGGGGTGGCTCATCCCATTCTCCTACTAGAGCCTTGCCAGATCCTGGAACCCCCGTCAGTGTGGTGACCCTGAGTGGGGCTTGACGTTACTTCTTATAACATGACCCTGGACATGTTCCTTAGCCTCAGTTTCCTTACCAGAAAACCAGACAATAGCAGCCAACCTATCTCATAGGGTTGTTGTGAGTCCCTGCATCAGTGTTTCTCAAAATGTGCCAGGACCACTTGTGATCAGAATGACTGTGGGGTGAAGTTTGAGAACCATAGTGCAGGTGAGGTGGTATATGGGACAGGACCTCCCACACTGCCAAGTGGGTTGTCCATGAAAGCTGATATACCTGCAGGCCTCCTCAGCTGGGGCCCACATTAGACTCTTTGGAGCAGATTCCATTTGAGGTCAGCAGCTTAGAGATGACAGCAAAGCAAGGCACTGCCACTTGGCCAGGAGCTGGCCCCTATGGGTGCTGGGCCAAGGACGTGCCTGTGAAATTACTTGTGCCCTGTGGCTTCTGTCAACCCCTCCCTGTTTGCATTCCATCACGCCTCGGCTCCTGGCTCTTGGCTTTCACCCTTGTGAAAAGAATCTTTCAACATCACCCACCCCACCCAGCCACCGAGTTCCAGCTTCTCTGCTTCTCTTACAAGGCTGTGCCCCTAGCCATGGGAGCAGAGCACACAGGCTCCCAAAGGTCTCTGCCTGGGTTTTCCTCCCACCTCTGTCCCCTCTGCCTGAACCCTCTTCTGGTCCCCAAATGTCCCCTGTCCTGGAACCCCACCCTGAGCCTCTGTTCCCCCTACAATCTCATGCGTCTGCAGGTGGTTTCACATGTTGCTGGAGCCGTAGAGATGGGTTACATTGCTCTTGGCCCTTGGGAGGGAAGTGCAAATCCCTCACTCCTGACTTTCCAGGGTACTTGTAATGGGATGCCCACCTGGCTTCCTGTCTACAGCAGTGCTCCCTTCTAAAAGGGGCCCCTCGGATCCCCCCTGGTGTCTTCAGGTCTTTGAGGGCCTGTCCCCTGGTGGGCAGAGTGGGAGCAAGTACATATCTGTAGGTCTGTGGTGCCTTCTCCTGTCTAGCAGCCCTGGAAGGGGTGCCACACTCAAGTGAGCAAACACACGTGGGGCACCCACTGTCAACGTGTGCCAGGGTCTCCAGGTGACCGGGATGGAGGTTGTCAAGGGCAACTGTCTGTGTCTAGCCAATTCAGCTGGACAGACAACTAGGCCCTGCTGCTTTGCCACGTGCAAAGGCCTGGTCTGCAGGGGTTCTGCCCTGTGTCCCCCTCGCAGCAGGCCAGCCTGTAGCCGCTGACCTCCCTGGCCTCAAGAGCAGAAGGTACAGTCCCAAGGAGCACAACTGACAGTTCTGGCCTAAGGCGGGCCTCCTTGCTCCTGCAGCCACGTTAGAAACAACAGTGGTGCTGGATGGGATGAGGTGAAGGCACCCAGAGTGGAGTCCAGATTCATGCACAAAGGACAACTGCAGAGAAAAACAGACGAATGCTTCGTGACTAGGCCTGCTCGTGGCTGAACCTTGTGCAGAATCCTGGGAAGGAAGGAATGGTGGTCTGGGCTTAAGGCCTGAGGTACAGCCTGCCCCTCTAAGCCCAAACCAGCCCTGTACCTGGCTGCCTCACTGGAGGGGTCCTATAGCAGAAGGGAGCTGGTCACCCTCCAGTGGAGAGAAGGCCCCGGGTCTGCTTACTACGGTCCTCGTGGGTGGCAGAGCAGTCACAGCCCTGTTCCAGGGATCCTGTCCACGAGCAGATGTGGCCTTGTCAGTGCCCCAGAATATGACTAGAGCAGGTGGGGCGGGGGGAAGCAGCACAAGCCTCTGAGCGTGCCCCTCTCGACACCATCCCGGGAGCCTGCCCTACAGGCCTTCTCGAAGTGACACCTTTCCATCTCACTGCACGTTTTCTTTGAGCTTCTAGAGTAGTTTCCCAAATTGTGTTCCAGGGAACACTGGGGTTGGCTTGTTGGGACCCCAGGAACAGGGAGCCTGGTGGGTGCAGCATGTGTGTGGAATGCTGGGTGAAGCCACAGGTTTATTTACGGAAGCTCTTCTCAGAGCCTTATACGTTCTAGTGTGAGCTGTGAATCTACTACCGAGAGAGGGAGTCCGTGTGCAAAACATTTCTGATCTGCCCCTCACACAAGTGTTGACTGAAAGCTTGGAAAGCCGTTCTCCCGAGCTCCTGCTGCCACATGGGCATGGCAGGGGGTGGAGTTCCAACACATGGTGGACGTGTGGTTGCCTAATATGGGAGCTCCTCCTCGTGGGCTAGAGTGGGGACATGCGAGGGATGGCGGGCAGCAGGCAGCACACAGGGCGGTTTGGCTGATGGGGTATTTTCTTTCTTTTTATGTATGTATGTATGTATGTATGTATGTATGCATGTATCTGAGGAGGACTAGCCCTGAGCTAACATCTGATCCCAATCCTCCCCATTTTTCTTGAGGAAGATTGACCCTGAGCTAACACCTGTGGCCCTCTTCCTCTGCTTTATATGGGACGCCGCCACAGCATGGCTTGACAAGTGGTGCGTCGGTGCGTGCCGGGGATCCGAACCCGCGAACCCCGGGCCGCCGCAGCGGAGCGCGCGCACTTAACCGCTTGCTCCACTGGGCCGGCCCCAGATGGGGTATTTTCTAAACCTGGCCTGCAAATGGCTTCAGCGGGGTGCCCTGCGGCTCGCCACGCCACCCCCACCCAGCTCCTTCCTGTAAGTTCCTGGCCTGCCTCTCTCTGAGACAATAAGGGCTTGTTTGAGACCAGGAACCGGAACAGGCCCCAGGAGGCTGCCAGGGTCACATACAGGCCCCACACACAGCCCTGCTCAGAGCCACTGAGTGGGGAGCATGGGGTCTGACCCCAAGCAGTGGGCTGGAGCAAAGGCCAAAGTCCAGAGAGGACTTCTCCCAGCCCCGCCTCCTCCACCAGGCCTCCCTCCCATGACACCCACCGCGGTGACAGGCTGCTGGTGCCTTCCTTCCTCTGGGCATCAGGGGTAGCTCCTACTCATGTCCACAGCTGCTGTGCTGTGTCACCTGTACTGGAATGTGACGTGAGCCATGGACTGGGTCTGCTCTGTCTCCACACTTGGGGGCCTCCCTGCAGGCACTGCCGGGGCGTGGGTAGAGCAGGCACCTAGGTGTGTGCACAATGAATGGAGAGGTGGGGCGTGGGGATGGAGGGGCAACGAGGAGAGTGGGGAGGACACTGGAACCCTCTGACACCAGCAAAAGGTCCCGAGCTGCTTGCTCTGGAGAAGACAAATGCATTTTAATGATTTCCGTGGCCCAAAGGACAGCCATCTGGAGCCTGGGGGAGGGATGGCGGGCCGTCACACGAAGTAGGCGGCCAGGGCTGACATCTTGTCCTTCGGCCGCCGGGCACTGGGCTTCCCAGCAGGTCTCCGGCCCCGGGCCCGCCCTCGGCCCTGCCTCCTCCCCGGCCCACCGCGGTGCATGGGGTGACAGGAGGCTGCGTGCTTCAGCTCCACCAGCTCCTGGAAGATGGGGTCGCAGAAGACACAGCCTGTGTGCTGTGTCTCGTCACCTGGGAGCGGGGACTTGGCCTTGTTGAAGTCCACGTCGAGCAGGGCGGCCTCGCAGGCGCTGCAGGTGTCGGCGGACACCCGCACGCGGTGGGCGTTCTCAAAGCAGTGTGCCACCACGTTGCACTTGTTGCAGGCCACCTTCCACTTGGGGCCCGAGGTGGGGTCCAGCACCAGCACCCCATTCTCGCACTCCACGCACTGGCCGATGCCCAGCATGCTCAGCGAGTGCTGGCAGGTGGGGTGTGTGCACTCGTTGCAGCCCATGCCTGGCGGGGAGAGGGCAGCCCATGAGGCACACCTGCCCGCCTGCTCCAGGCTGCAGCCCCACCCCACCCCCGGGCCTTCTCTCAGGGCCTCCCGCTCCAGGATCCCCCGTCCCAGCAGAAAGTGCTTCTCTTGGCCTTGCACACGCTGGCCCTTCTCTGCTTATCTAAAAACTCCTCAACCTTTGAGGACCCCCTCCTCCTGGGCTAACATCATTTCCAGAAAGCCTTCCTGGTGGCCTCCAGCTGATTTTGTCCCCCCTTCGCTTTGTTTCCACAACTCGTTACTGGCAGCTCCACGTGGCCCTCATGCCACTGGGCCACATGGGGCCATCAGCTGCCCTGGAAACTGCTGGAGGGCAGAGGTGGGCCTGACTGCCCCTGGCAGCCCAGATGCTGACTATGCCTGCCCCAAGGGTGAGGCTCGAGTCAGGAGGCGGTGGACCAAGACCCCCGAGGGCTCCCCAGACCCCATGTAACAGGGCTGAGGGTGGGCCCGGGGCCGGAGACCTGCGGGGAAGCTCAGCGCCCAGCAGCCGAAAGACAAGATGTCAGCCCTGGCCGTGAATGTGGGTGGGTGCCTCACTCTCGCTGCTCCTTGTTCTTGTCTGTTGTATGGGGTGAGAACACCAGGGGCTGTGCGGGGTGTATAGGGGACAGCCCCGCTGAGGGTGAAGGTGCTGGGCCCTGGGCCCCCTTCAGACTCCTGGCTCGGTGCTCTCGGGCCCACCTGGACTGCGCTCTCCTTTCTCCAGTAGTAAGCACGAGGACAGAGAACGGTGGTGGACACTGACCGAAGGCATGCCCCTCGCCAGGTGGGACCCCCTCACCTGCTGCATCCTCCCACTCACCCCAACCCAGGATGGGGCACAGCACGCCCACTGCCCAGATCCCAACTGTAGTCGTCCATCCAATTATGACCTGGACGGAGAGCAGCAGACGGGCCGGCTGATGCCTGAGCAGCGCCCATGTACACCTCAGGGTCTCCCACCCCAGCACCAGTGAGCATGGGACGGGCTGGGGGAGGGACCCCTCGGAGTCCAGCATGGTGCGAGGCAGGGGCAGAGGCTGGTGCTGAGCAGAGATCACAGATACCCGGGGGGGCGGGGGCGGCTCGGGAGGGAGTGGCCGGGGCCCGGGGACGTGGCACTCACCTTTCTTCATGTCTCGGAAGGGCGGGTGGTTGGAGCAATAGGGGCACAGTGGGTAGCTCTTGCCCCGGGAGCCCGATGACCAAAGGACCAGCTCGAAGTCATCCAGCGGGCACCGGAGCTCCTTGTAGAGCTTGATGGTGCCGTTCTGGGGGAGGGTGTAGGTCTCGTCGCAGTGGGAGCAGTGCAGGCGGCTCGGCTTGGCCTGCAGCAACGCCGGGGGGAGGCATGGGGTTGCCGGGACCATCCAGCTCTCCCGCCCGCCCTCATTCTCATCACACAGAATACATAACTTGTAATACATAACGTGTAATGTGTAATATGTAACACATGATACATAATATGTAATACAGAATATGTAACACACGATACATGTGTAATACAAAAATCTACACGTTATGTAATACATAATGATTACGTAATATGTAATGTTATATACATAATGTAATACATTTATTATATATAAGTACTATGTAATACACAATACGTAACACATACTATGTAACACATAATGCACAATACTAATACATAATACATATTACATGCGTATACGTGTGTACATAACACAGAATACATACATATGTAAGACAGGATGGATAATACGTAATAATACCTAATACCTAATACCTAATATGTAACATGTAATACATAATCTGTAATACATTGCCAGGCAAGGATCCCTGGCCATGAGTCTGAGAAAGCTTGCTCCTGGCATGAAGAAAGGCAGTTCTAAAATCTGTACCTACATTAATACCTATGATAGCAAGTAATGTGTTGTTAGGAAAAAACAGACGTGTTTAAGTGGCCTACAAGCCTACTGTTCCTGGGGTCATGGGGAAACCATGGGTGTTCGCTGGCAAGGCTGCTTTAGGCCTCTCAATCATTCTTGTGTGACAGCCAGGACAAAGAATGTTATTCCTATAAGACTGAAGATAAAGCGGAGGCCTACAGAGGTGACAAGACTTGCCCGAGTCTGTGCACAAGGACGCCGCAGGCCAGAAGGGGCCGTCATAGCCCTGCACCCCCACCTACCTGGATGTACTTCATGAACCGGTGGCATTTTCCACAGCGGGAGAGGGGCTTGCCCGTGGCTGCCAGGGGCGAAAAAGACACCTCCATCAACTCGTCCATGCCTGAAAGCAAGCAGTGCAGGAAAGAGTCATATCCTCCCGGCCCCCCAGCCCACCTCTCTGACAGGCGGATGGTGTAACTGGGCGGGCTGGAGGGGAAGCCATCACATGTGGTCAAGGATTTGTAGTGTACGTCCCCGGCCCTGAGGGTAGTGGGGTTTCCACGTCAGTATTGGGAATGGCAGAGCTGCAGCCCAATTTATCAGACGAGCTGTGTGCCCTGCATGTAGTGTTAATACACCTGCTTTTTAATCCCAACACTGGCCCAGGAATGAGCTATCATCACCCCATCCTCCAGACGGAGGCCTGGAGCCCAGAGTCCAGCTCTGGGAGCTGGTCCAACATCGGGGCTCCTAGCCCCCCGGTGGTGGCGGCCCTGACCCAGGGTCCTCTGGTGAAGGGGTGGACCTTACTGGCGATGGAGTCCACGAAGTAGTGGAACTTTCTCTTGAAGATGTCCAGGGTGTGGCCCAGGACCTGGCGGTAGTCGGCCTTGCCCTGGGCAATCAGGTTCAGCTGCTTCTCAACCGCACTTCGGATGGTGGGGAGCACCAGCTCCGCATCTGCGGATGTGGGGGACACTGCTGTGAGCACTCACACCCGAGGGGCCATGGTCGCACCCCTCCCCCAGCTCCTGCTGGAGTCGGAAGGCACCAGGCTGGTTCCCATGCTCCCAGGCCTTTCCCAGGCATGATCTCCCACTGGGAAAATCCTGTGTGGAGTGGAGAGACATCCTGCCTTTGGGACTGTGTCGTGTGCTCCTGGCAGTCCTCGGGCCAGGTCTGTGCTCCGCCATCTCCCACAGGCCCCTCAGGACCTCACAGGGACAGAGCAAACAGCACTGCAGCGAGGACCCCAGGCCTTGCCGGGAGCTGCTCCATGAGGAAGAGCCCTTGCCTCCCATTTTGGATCTTCTGCCCCTGTCCGTTCATCCATGAGCCACACACGGAGCCCCTGCTGGGGCAGGGCGTGGGGAGGGCCCGGGCAGCAGCCTTGCAGTGGGGTTGGGGTCTCACTGCAGGGCCATGGCCTGTCGGGGGAGGCTCTGGGCTGATGGAGGCAGGGCCACAGCACAGGGAGAAGCCAGGGGGGCCTCACCGATCTTGTAGTAGCCGTGCACCAGGACGATGCCCAGGTTGGTGGGCTTGAGCCGGCGCCCGCTCTCCACTACAACGTAGTTGCGCTGGCAGATGTTGTTGATGTGCACAGGGATGCTGGCGTCTGTCCCTGAAACACACAGCAAGGCCCTGCTGTTCCTCAGCCTGCCCTGACACTCCCCACTGGACTCTGGGCCCCCCTCCACTCCCACCTGTCTGGGGCCTGGTTCTCAGCCCCTCCCCCACTGCTCCGCCAGCACCACGCTGGGCACACCACCACGTGCCTTTCACACACTGTCTTGTGAACCTGAGGATGGCCCTCCCAGCACCAGGTGCTTATTCCTGCTCCACAGATGTGAGCAGAGGTTCAGAGAGGTTAAAGAACTCTTCAAGGTCACAGAGCTCGTTCTGCCTGCCCCTCACATCGGGTAAATGTGACTTCCTTGGCCTCTCCTGTCTGGATCCTGTGGCACCCACCCCCACCTGGAGCCAGGACCTAGCCCCCTGAACATGGAGGAGCTTACACACTCACTGCCAAATCATCCCTTCCGGAACCTGCCCTGTTCTGCCCACTTCCTGGCTTCTGGGTCCCTCATGATCAGTCCCCAGGGCAGGCACCCAGTTCCAGGACGCATCTCCCCTAGGGACTTCCAGGTCGCCTGGCACTGCCAGATGCTGCCATTACTGCTCCTCTGTGCTGAGGAGGCTCTTTAGCGGGTGCTCAGAAGTGAAGGAGCCTGCTGAGGCCCCACGCTTGCAGGATGAGGCTGGGATCAAGATCTGAACCCTGTGTGGGGGCTCTGAGCAGGGGTGTGCCTACTGCTGCCCCGGGTCTGCCAGGTCCCCCGTGTGGCTCAGGGGGCTCCGCAGCATGCTCCCTGCTGCATTCTCACCACAGCCTGCGGGGCAGCTCTCGTCAGGCTCTTTGTACACAGCTTTGGGGGGCCACAGTTGACAAGAGCTCTCTTTACTGTCACAAACTCGTTTTGTCATGGGCTCTGGGCCGCTGTCTAGTCTACGGCTGCCAAAAGCCACAGACATCCCACATCAACGGAAAGGAGCACAGGACTCTGGGGGAGAGTGCCCACAACCCCCAGCAGGCTGAGGACCACGAGGGCAGGACCCACCTGAAGCCCCCAGGCCCAGCTCTCCTGCTGAGGCCACCACTGTCAGCAGGACTGCAGACGCAGGTGAGATGCTCCCTGGCAGTCACCTGTAGGACCGTCAGTGATGGAGCAGAGCCCAGGAACAGCGACCTCCAGAGCCTGTCGACCAGCAGGGGCCTGGCCAGTCGGGCAGTGGATCAGGGAATGGGCAGTGCCCATCAGAGTGAACACTGCCTGGGGAGAAAGCTCCAGCAGTGAGGCTGGCCCCAAGTGTGTGAGGACACGGGTCACAGCCCTAGGCCTGGGGACTGGGCAAGACCACCTCACCTGTGAGGTGCATGCATTAGCAGCTACACTTCTGAGCAAGCAAACTGCCCTGGGACTCCCGTTCTCACTTGGAAACCTTTTGGTTGTCACGCGGGAGCTTCCTGGCCCTGGGGTGGGCATCTCTGCTCCCCTCACAGTGAGGGCGGTGACCCTGAGGATTTGGTTTCTGGGTTGCCTGATTCCAGGACAGACCCAGCTAGCTGTGTGGACTCAGGAGGACTCTGACCTGACATTTGTGTTTTCCTGCAGATGAATCATTTGGCATCCTGGGCCAACACTCAGCCCTGTGGCTATTACTGCACACGAAGGTACCTCTTGGCCTCTACAGGCAAGGCCAGGTCCTGATGTGGAGTCTCGGTGAGGGGCTGCCCTCTGCCACCCTGCCTGGCTCAGCTGGCCATACCCTGGGCCTCAGTCACCAGGTGCTGGGTATGGAAGGGTCACTGGGCAGCTCTGGAAGCACTGCCTCCCGGGCCCCAGTCCTGGGCTGGGAACCCTTGGGCCTGGGTCTTGGGGGAGTGCACCCACCGATGCCGTGCTTCTCCATGAGCGTGATGAGCTCGGCCTCCGTCAGGTAGTCGGGCGGGCTCGTCTGCTTCTCCAGCATCTTCACTTCGCTCACGGGGAAGGTGTCGCCCCTCTGGCAGGTGGGCAGGTTCTCCTCCAGGGGCACGCTCTGCCAGGGCATGATCTCCGTGAAGCCTGGGGAGACACAGCACTGCCTGAGACCTGGGGCCTCCCATCTCCAGGTCCGACAGAGCAGGTTCCATCTGTCTGTGGAGATGAAGAGAGGAACAGAGCTGGGACCTGCAGTTTACCTGGAGAGATGACAGTCTTCCCCATGCAGGTGAAGTGCTCAGGCCCGATCCTGAAGGAGATGCTGCTCTGCAGGTACTTGCAGTCATAGCTAACCGTGGCGATGAAGTGTCTGGTGATGTACTCATAGAGCCGCCACGCCTCGCTCCCTGCGGCAGGCACAGAAGCTGGTCACCGGCAGGGCTCTGGCTCAAGTGGCAGGGCCACAGGATGCTGAGGCCAGCCTGCTCCAAAGCCCGAGAAAGGCAGAGGAAACGCACAGAAAGGAAGCGAGTCTCTTGTGCGTTAGTGGTTCCTTCACAACCACGGCTCCCACCTCCCGCTCCTGCCTCCAGGTGGGGCTGCTCTTCAGGCGCCTGGCCTGGCCTGTCCCTGTCTAGTGACATGCCACCATCACTTCAAACGGGCTGTGCACAAGTGGCTCGTCTCCACCACATGGGTCTCCCTTCCTCTGCCTTATCCAGCATGTGGGCCACAGCACCGCCCTGGGCAGGGGGGACGGAGGAGGTGCGCCTGTGGTTGAGCCCCCGCACGCTCTGTCTTGGACTCATCCCGTTCCACCCCAGCCACCTGCCCACTTGCCTCACCCTCCTGCCTCCAGCCCGGCCTTCTCTCCTCCAGGTCCTCCTGTGAGCAGCGGCCTGTACCTGCACTCGGCACCACTTCACTCCTGTCCCATCCCATGGTGATGGAGCACAACTGTCAGGTGACCTCCTTCACTACAGCCAGGGGCAGGAGAGAGCCTCCATGTTGCCGAAAGGGCCTGACACTGTCCAAAGGTGCCACGTCGCCGTAGCTTCTTGCCCTGCCTTCCCTAGAAGCCTAAAGTGTGTGAGTGTGCGAGTGTTGGGGGGAGCACCCGATACCTAATTCGGCCTCTGAGGCAGACCTCATGGGGGTGATGGGGGGGTGGTCGCCAGCATCGTGGCCTTTCCGTGGGCGGTTGATACCTTCTGCTAACAGCCGCTTCACCTGAGGGAGAGAAGACAGAGCCGAGTGTGAGTCCAGCACGGCTGCCCTCCCACCCAGAGGCAGCTGCCGCCAGTCCTGGATTTGGCCAAAGTCCTGAGCTGGGGGCAGGGCCCGGTTCTGCTCACCGTGTCAGCCCAGGCGGGGTGGTTGGCCTGCTGCCGTAGAGGGCCCTTCAGGTCAAAGTTCTCGGGGTAGTGGGTGGTCTCGGTCCGAGGGTAGCTGATGTAGCCTTGCGTGTAGAGCCGCTCGGCGGTCTGCATGGCATGCTGTGGCCCCATGCCTGTGAGAGACAGGAGACTCAGCCAGCCTGGAATGCCAAGGACAGCCAGGTGTCTGCCATGGGCCTGGACACTCAGGCTCTCCAAGAGGCAGACCGGGCCTCCTGGGAGGTGAGGTGGCTCTGAGTGGGCATGGCCCAGAGCAGAGCTGCTGGCCAGGTGCCTGTGTCCACACAGCCTTATCCAAGGCTGATGTCCCTAACTTGTGAGGGTGGACCCAGGACAGGGATGCTCCAGTGTCACCCTCATGACATTGGTAGCCGTGTTGATTAAATCTGGCCTTCAGAGTGCTTGTCTGTCACGCTCTGGCCTGGAGCTGTAGCCACGACTCAGGGGCTGCTGATGTCCTGCCATGACAGTAGAATTAGCACACGCCCCATGTTCTAAGCCCCTTGGGTGTTTCTGTCCTCACAGCACTCCACGGACGACTCCTCCTCCTGCTCCTCCCGGACCAGCAGAGGCTGGCACTCAGCAAACGGTCACTCCATGTCATTGTTGTCCTCCGAGAATCCCTGGAGGTGCTGCTCTGAGAGGACACTGCCCATGGTTCCCCAAGGCCACACAGAGGCCACCAATGCCTGGAGGTCAACAGCTGTCAGAGAGTGCCAACTTTCCAGCCCAAGCCCTTCTTGCTACTGTGGAAATAAGGTTCAGAGAGGCTATGTCACACTGTCACACCTGTCCCCAGCAGGAGACGGGCCTCGAGCGCCACCTACCATGCCTGACCTCTCTTCCTGCACCAGGGGAGCTGCTCTGGGATGCTATGGTCAGGATGTCCCTCTCAGGTGATGGCAATCATTACCATTGCTAGTGTTAGGATGTGCTGTTTCAATCATTTAATCCCTACAATAACCCAGAAAGACAGGTACCATGGTCACCCTATTTTCTCATGAGGAAATCATGAAACAATGGCTCTGGGACAAGGAAGATGTGGCTGAGCTGGATTTGGACCAGAGTTTGGCTCTGGAGCTGGAATTCCACGGTTTAATGCCTCTGAGGTGACTCCGCTGAGCCAAGGACACATGAGGGCCGCTTTGCGGGTGGGACCTTGCCCACGGCCTTCCACTTGTTCAGGCCAGGCCACGGCCGCTCAGACATTTAGTAATATAAAGTGGCCTGTGTTTTCCTATATAAACTCAAAGAGGCTGTTGAGTGTTAACCAACAATCCTATGAAATGGAATCCTCTCTCCTGTTTGTTACTTGATTCCACTCTGGAATTGAAGATAAATGAAATCTGCATGAGGCTCAGATTCCCTCTAAGCCTTGGGTGACATGGCAGGAGGAGGGGTGAGGCAAAGGTGGGGGGGGTGCTGGCACAGGGGAAGACAGAGAGGGGGTGCTGGCACAGGGGAGCACAGAGCGGGGGTGCTGGCACAGGTGAGCATAGAGAAGGTGCTGGCACAGGTGAGGGGAGTGTGCGGCACAAGTGAGCAGGGATGGGGGTGTGTGGCACAGGTGAGCGGGGAGGTGCACAGCACAGGTGAGGGGGGTATGCAGCACAAGTGAGCAGGGGGTGGTGCTCGGCACAGGTGAGGGGTGTGTGGCACAGGTGAGAGCATCGACACTGTTCTGGGCCCCCAGGTGCTGCCCCAGGGCTGAACTGGGTCACCGCGTGCCTGTCCCAAGAAGTCTTTGGGGGCTTTAGAGAACTGCCCATACATACCCAGAGAAGAGCTGGCCACACGCAGCATCTCCACGGTGTTCAGGGCCAGGGGCCTCTGCTTGGCCTTCTCTTTCCTGCTTGTGGCCTCCACCTAGAAGACAGAAGAGATTCAGTGGTTGGGGGTGGAGGGGGCAAGACGCCATAAGAGAGAGAATTAGGACGTGTGGGCAGAGTCTGGTTTCATTCATTTGGTTTCTCTGTTTCTCAAATTCACTCTTCACGGCAGTCTCAAGACTTAAATGAAAATTTATTCAGGCCCAGGAAAGGAAAAAAGAAAGAAAATTCCTTTTTAGAGAATTTTCTAGGGAAAGAGAAAACCTAGAGGAATGGGGATGAGTCAGGAGAAGAGGTTGCAAATTCAAAATCCAACAGAGGCCTGCGTCAGCCAGGCCACGGGGATGGCAAGTGGGCTCTGGGGTAGCTACGTGGGCAGGACGGTCTCAGAGCAGCCGCCTGCCCTCACTGTGCCTGAGTGCAGCCATCAGGGCCCACTAGGATTGCTATATCTTCTGGCTTGTCGAGAGAACATGGAAATCAGGACTTTTATGTGAAATCTCACAATTTTTAAATGTTGGTAACTATTTTGAAACTTCTGTAAACACCATGCAGTTTAAATAAAATGCTGGTGAGCTGCCACTTTCAACCTCTGGGTCGAGCAGTTGTCAGAAGAGATGACTCTGCTTTGCCTGTAGCAAAAACAATCCAAACATCTCAACTCTGAAGCCTCAGTCCCGCCAGTCCCATGTAGACCTGGCCAGGGCAGAGCCTTCTGAGTTCCCGGGAGACGAACATCAGGGTTAACACTGAGGCCATAGCATGTGTGCGCAGCAGTGGAGTCTGGGATGTCTAGGGCTGAGATCTGGAGATGGCGGTGATGGTGTCTCTGCAGGAACACGACTGAGGATAAAAGCGTGCCTCAGCTTTAGAAGAAGCGCTGGAAGCCTGAGTCAACCGCGTGGGTGGGCAAGAGGGCACCCAAGGAAGGCTTGAGAAGGACAAGAGAAGGTGGCTGAAGGCGGCTAGGCTGCACCTCAATGAGTCTAGTAGCTGTCACAGCTGCAGGGCATTTGCTGCAATGGCCACAGACCTGCTCCCACCCCGTGCAGCCATCCTCTTGCCAGGTGACATCACCCTCTTCCTAGTGGCCAAGCAGCATGTCCTTCCAATTCACAAAAACCCTGAGTAAGAAATACAGGACCATAAAGGCCATGAAAGCTGACTGAGGTTGAGACACAGACCCATCCTGTGCCAGCTGTGTGACCTTGGTCGGGTTTGTTGACGTGCACATAGGTCCCTCTAGAGTTGTTAGCTTTCGGTACCACAGAAAAGAGACATCAGGGTAACATGGAGTCCTGCAGTAAGGAGATAATGCCCATGGGGTCACGTGGAAAGGCAGAGTGGAGGGGCCTGGCGGTCATGAGCTAGTCTTCCAGCCAGAGGCTTCCAAGGCCTACCCCTACCCAAGACAAATGTGACAGATGTGGGTGCAGCAGGCCCACCTGGGCTTCCTTCTCCAGCTTTGTCATGTTTAAGAACATCTGTGCAATCTCCCGATCGAACACTCGCACACGGTCCCAGTCCAGAAGCAGAGATCTATCTTTATCAGTGTTAACCTGCAGGAAGAAGGATGAAAGGAGAACCTGAAGAGAAAGGATCTAGGTGTCCCCACTACCAGGGAAGAGAGGTGAGGCAGATGAAGCTGCTCCTTGTCTGGAGCAAAACAGTCCCGGCTTTAAAGTCTCGCAGCCACACCTGGTCAGGTGCACAGATACACCGGCAGAGACCAAGCCCCTTCCCAAGGGAAGGCTGCCCGGACACCAGGCCTCCCCGCCCCCACCCGGGATCAGGCAGACATTCTCACAGAGGGAGCCCAAAGCCGAGGCTGATGTGTCCTTAAGGAGTGTCAGAGCCTGCACCTCCCACGCCATCTCTGTTCACCCACTAAGGCCTGGCCAGCACTAGGTATGGCCCCACCCAGGAGTTCCCAGCCCAGTGTTGACTGGAGCAGCTCTGTATTATGTTCTAAATCTTATGAGAAGCTCTCATGGAGACTTGTATCTGGAGAAGTGTTCTAAGACTTTTAAAAAGTTTGCAAGTCAGCGGCCTACAGCCCTCAGTCTAGTCCTTGGACCTGACCGCTGCAGCTGATGGCCCCCAAGGGGCACTACCAAAGCTGAGTTCATTCCCACTGATCCAAATTCAAGGCATCCAGGCCTAGCTTATCCTGCCACCTCCATGGAGGCTGGGGTCCCTTCCTTGGGCAGCGTGCAGACCACTGTCTGGCCTCCCTCATCTGGTACAGCTGCCCACATTTGTGCCCTCAGCCTCGGGACTGTGATGATGATGCTGATGATGACAGAAGACTCTCAGAACCCACACCCCAAACCTGGAAAGACCCCGTGTGGACAGAGAAGGGACAGTGGACCTTGGCCTGCAGCACCCAGTAGGTCTCCGGTTTGAAGGACTGGATCTTGTCATGTCTCTCCACGCAGAATCCCAGGGTGGGGGTTTGACACGGCCCAAAGGAGATGAGGGAGCTGTCTAGATTGCCGTATTTCCCCTGGAAGTATTTAGTCTGAAACCTACAGGGAGGGGCAGGGGGGAAGAAAGATATTTCGGTCATATACTCACTCAAGACACCATCATTACCTGCCCATGAGTCGGGCCCCGGGCTAGCTGGTGGGTGCAAGCAGGAGGCTCAAGGCAGCTGCTCCTTGCTCAGAAGACAGGGTAAAAGGATGTGCTCAGCATGGGGGGCAGAGGAGGGTGTGTGTGAGTGGAGAGGAGGAATCGAGTGTGCGCTGACAGGGAAGGTGGGAAAGAAGAGAAGAGGTTCTGACCATCCTGGGGAGGGAAGCCCTTCCATTATATTCTGTGCCCTCCTCCTTCCCCTCAAGACCCACTGAGTGTGGACAAACACACCCTGCTTATCCAGCAGTGGCCTGTGTGGTCTATTTCAGCTAAACAGACAGGTTTCTTCAGTGTTTTTAAAATGTTACAATTGCCTAGTGCAATCAGGCCCGGGGCCATGGATGGGACCAGCCAAGGCAAGGGGTCTGGCCAAGGGAGGGCCAGCCGGCACCTGGTGAAGGCGCAGCCGATGCGCAGGTCCAGCTCTTGCCGGGCGTCCACTGACAGCGCCTCGTTGTGGTCAGGCTCGCCCAGGCGGGCCATGGCGTTGCAGATGTCTGTGTCTGTGATGGAGCTGAACCTGGCCCGGAACACCGTCTTCTCGCCACTGTGGGCCTGATTCATGACAGGCAGCACGGCATCCAGGACCTGGGGAAGGTGGCCCGGCTGTAACCCACCCCGAGGTCTCTGCCTCCCGTGCTACACCTCACCTGTGACCCCCCTCCACTCCTGCCAGACCCTCCTCTGCCTCACTCCTTTTCCAGAAGCCTCAATCTCTCTACAATACTCCTGCCACATGGCTTCCTTTTGGTCCGTCTGCAAACATGTTCAAACACACCCCTTCTTACTACTGCCCTGCAAGCTGCCACCCTCTCTCTTCTTATTGTCTGCTTCCATCCCCACCAAACCATAAAATGCTATTGCCAAGGACGCAAGGGAACTCCGAGTTGCCAGATCCACCCCACTCGACCCATTTCCCCTCCTTCTAGATGAGGGAGTGCTAAGGGGTGGGTAGGACTTTTAAGAGACTAGAGAAAAGACAGGGAAGAAAAAAGGAATGAAGGGGCAAAGGCAGTGGGCAGGAGTGGGAAGGCCATGGCGACCCCCACTGTAGGGGTGTGGGCGGCTCAGGGCTGAAGCACAGCGGGGTCCTGGAGCCGAGACTCACTAAGAAGGCTGTGCAGTGGGAGGGGAGTCACGCTGGAGCCTGGCCATGCAGCTTCTTTACGGGGAAGTGGCTTCGTTTCTGAAGGGAGAAAGCCCCATGAGCTGCCACCGTTCACCCCAGACGCAAAGGCCCCCTGGGCAGGAGCAAGCCTGCAGGGGAGGGGACGGGGGAGAGGTATCTGGGAAGGGACAGAGCATGATGGAGTTTTCAGAGGGTGCCCCGAGCTCCCCTGTTGCACTGGAAGCATTTCCTGAGCCCCGAGGTGTGCCAGGTCTGGGGGGAAAGCTGGGGGTGCAGAGGCAGGGCTGCCTGCGGGGGTGGTGGAGGCGGGAGGGCATCCTAGGTGGGGAGAGGACGCATGAAGGTGGAGGGTGAGAAGGATGAGGCTCGGAAAGGAGCACGGAATGGTGCTGGGCATCAACTAGCATTGACTGGAGGGCCCTGCAGGGCACCGAGTAGGCTTCTCCTCCAGACAGCCCCATTTGGAAACACATAGCCACCTAGGAAATTCTGCCGTTTCTAGGTTCACTCATGCGATGTGCCTCCAGCAAGTGAAGTAACACTACATCACCCTTAGCAGAGTCCATGCATTTTAAAGTCTACAGTATTTCAAGATAAAGGAGGACAGAAGGCATTTCTAAGCCAATGTAGTTGACTCTCCAGTTCTGGCCCAGGAATGGTGTGACTGTGTGGCAGTTCAGGGCAGGTGCAGGAAGGCCAGGCATGAGACCCCAGTGGGCCCCACCCTCACCTCGAAGCAGATGTTCTCCCCTTCCTTGTCGCAGTCCAGCCACAGCACGATGTAGTCGCAGCCTCTGCCCTCCACCTGCCACACAGCAAGAGGTGATTCGCACCTGACCCCGCCCTGCCCCGCCGTGCCCGCCCATGTGCTCCGGCCTGGCACCAGAGCAGAGCCCCGGCCCCAAGCCTGTTTAGGAGGCCTGTCCAGAGCAGGGCCCAGGCTTGTGGAGGAGCCAGCTGCAGTTCGGATGCTTTAGCTGCTCAGAAAAAATTTAGTTCAGAACTGCTGTTTTTTGGACCAATGCAATGTGATCTTAACCCCAAAAAGTACATAGAAAAAGGGCTGAAATGAAATAACCCTAAATGTTAACAGTGGTTGCCTTGGATTATCAATAGTTTTTCCTTCTTTCTACTTATTTATACCTTCCAATTTTCAATAATGTGTATGCGTTTGTTTTAACATTAGAAAAACAACCACCACCAAACAAACAATTTTAGAAGCAGAATTCCTGTTCTCCAGGGCTGAGGGACCCGGGTATCCACGTTGGCCGACTGTGCCCTGGGGGGAGGAGCAGGCCTGAAAGGTGCCTGGTGGGCCAGGAGGGGGTGCTCACAGAGAGGCCTGCAGACAAAGGGATCCAGGGGAGGGCCTGCCGGCTGCCAGCCCCCAGGCCTGGCCCCACGGGCGGCCTCGTACCTGCAGGAACTTCACCATGTTCAGCTTGGGGTTAGCTTCCTTCTTCTCCGTCGGGGCTTGGCTGAACAGCTCTGCAGGGTCCACCTTGTCCCACTTGTTGTACTTTCCTACGAAGACAGGCACAATGACATCTATATCACACTTCATGGCTCACAGGGGCTTGGCCTCCGAGATCGGCATAACCCTAGGAGAATGGTGATGGTGTCTCACCCATGGGGAGAGGGAGGCTGGGAGCACGATTTTCCCAGGGCAATCCTGACAGTCGGAGGCAGAACGGGCCTTCCTTCCACCTCAGCCACCCACGGGAGCCACACAAGCTCTGGGCAGGGCTGCTGCTCCAGCCTTGCTTCCGGGATGTTCCCTGTGGCTGCAAGCACCACCCCTGGACTGGTTCACCTTGCCAGAGCCTGAAACCATGCCTTGCACACCTTTGTCTTCTCTTCCAGCCTGGATTTCTGTACCCCTCTCCCCAACCCAGCACTCGACCCGCACAGGAGAGGGGTGCTCAGCTGATCCCCTGGAGAATCAATCTCTTCGGGCCTCATGTTGGCCACACCCACCTACTTCTCTACTCAGGGGCGGAACCTGCATGCTCAGCCTTCTGGCTTTCTTCCAGCCCCCCCCCCACTTTTGTTTTGCTGGCAGAGTCGCCCTGAGCTAACATCTGTTGCCAATCTTCCTCTCTTTTTTTTTTCTTCCCCAAAGCCCCAGTACATAGTTGTATATCCTAGTTGTAAGTCCTTCTAGTTCTTCTTTGTGAGCTGCCACCACAGCATGGCTACTGACAGACGGGTGGTGTGTTCCATACCCAGGAACCGAACCTGTGCTGCCGAAGTGGAGTGCGCCGAACTTGAACCACTAGGCCATCAGGGCTGGCTCTAGGCCCCATTTCTTGCAGCCTGCAAGAATGGGGTCAGATAGAGCCAAGTTCAAATCCTGGCTCCCCACCTGCTGGCTGGTGGTAAAGCTCTGGGTCCTAAGGCTCGGCCACACAACTGAATCGATGTCACTGTTGTCACTGTCATCACTGAGCAGCAAGAACCATTAAGGCTTTGCTGCGTGCCTGGCCCTGCACTAAGCACTCTACCTTCACTGTCACACTGAGTCCCCAAACAATCCTGGGAAGTGGATAGCTCATTTCACCCACAAGGAGCAGAAACTCACGGAGGCCCAGTCCCAGCCCCAGCCCCAGCCCATGAGCTGTGGTCAGAGCCCAGGTTGGACTCTCCTCAACCACAAGGCCCTGCACGTAGCCCTGCTGGGTCACTAAGCTGGCCCTTCCAAGGGGATGGATAACAATAACAACATGAGGATGACAATGACAGCCACCGAGTGACTGTGGACAGCAGTCACACTCAGCAGGAGCAGCAGCCCTCTCCTGAATGCCTGCTCGGGTCAGGTCCCCTCAGGTTGGCACCACCGACTCCCATCCACACAGGCAGGTGCACAGGGCATGAATGGCTAAGGGGTGCCACTGGGATGGGGACCTACAGGCACTGAGACCAAAGCCTGGGTTCTAGGCGCCTCACCCAGGGACACTGGATCACCTCTCCACAATCTGTTGGCCTCACAACTCATGGATACTGGACAAACTTCTCTCCAACTGGACCCTGGGCAGCACCGTGCAGGGCTTCCCTCAGTGGAATGGAGGGCAGGCAGGGAGACTGAGGGGGCTCACCCAGGAAATCCAGGGTCATCACATGACCACAGACAGATGTCATCTTGAAGTGGACTGGCTGGCCCGCGAAGGTCCCGGTGTACTCGTGCACCGAGCATGTTCCGTTCAGCCCTTTGTGTGAGGACATACTCCCTGGGGAGGAGAAACATGGTGATGGCTGCTCCAGTGAGCTGTGGCCGCTGCAGAGGCCCCTGACGCTGCCTCTCGGAGGGCCAGAAACCCCTTACTCAGAGCGCTAAGTGATAACACTCCTCAGGCCACTGCGGGTAGTTGGGTGCTGTGAGATCTAATGGTTCTCCAGGAAAACACCATCCCAGCTGGGTTGGCTACAGTAGCCAACCCAGCACAGTAGGCTCTGGGTCGGCGAGGGGCCAGGAGCGCCCCCTCTGAACACTCTTGGGTTCTTGCTCTGCACTTCTGCCTCACTTCTTTCAAACTGTACTCACAGGTCCCCAGGGACCGCCTAATTATTGAATCCCATGGTGTCTTCTCATGCTCCCGACCGACGGCCCCTTAGAAAGAGCCCAACTTTCTCAGCCTCTGGGCCTGGGCACATCTCAGTTCTTCTCTCCCCTTCGGAGAGACCCTAGCCTGCTGTCCTAGGGTCTCTTCCTCCCTCAGCCACGGGACCAAGGGGAGGTCAAGGCAGATGTCTGCCATTTCTGGGTACCCAGAATGCAAACACCTTCCTATTTGGAGGGAATTCAGAGATAGGAGGGGAAGCAGCACCCCACCACCCACCCCAGTGGACAGAATGGGGGTGCAGGCAGACGATCCCTTTCCCAGTGCCTTGGTGTCTCGGGCTGCTCTCAAGGGACACAAGGTGCGTGGGCTGCAATTGCCACTGTCAAGGGTCCAGGGCAGTGGCAAGGGTCCTGTGGTGACGATGCCATGGCCTTGTCAGACTTAGACTGGGGTGGTGTCCCGGCTGTGTCTTCTTCCTTCTAGTGAATTCCCTTTCTAAGTTACCAAGGCTGGTTTCTGCTGCTTGTGACCAACAACCCTGACCAGACAGTGCTCTGACCAGTGGCCATTGGCGCCTGCCTGCCCCTATGCTGTGAACTGTGCCTGCCCCAGGCCTGGCTCATGCTGGCTATGACAATAAATGCACCCACAGTGACTAATACCAAGGTGCTTCAGTAACGCCTGCTGTCCTGAATGGAATCTACTCCAGCGGGCTGAAGTCACACTTCGGAGAAAGAAAGAAATGATGTGTAAAGTAGAAACAACGAGGCTTACAGATCAAAGCCATACGGAACGCTGGGGTTGGTCTTCCCTACCTCGAGAGAGGATTTTGGCAATGGACTGGGCCAAGGACGGCTTTTCTGCAACCATGAGTACAGTCTTCATCCTGTCTTAAAGCTGGCAGGACCCTTGGCCTCCACACTCCAGTTTCAGGGAAACGGCAATGAAGAAGTTCAGAAACTGCTCTCCTGCAGCTCAACACCACTGTCAACACTGACCCCTAAAGAGAAGAAAACACACGCAGAAAATAGCAATGCTTCCAGTGGAACTTATACCACTAACAAGGAAACTCACTTTAAAAAGTGAAAAAATAATCCTGAGGCAAGAAAAAAAAAAAATTAGGGAACTTTGGAGACATCTAACATACAAACAACTGGTCAGGTCAACTGAACTGGCTCAGAGATGACCCTGGGAATTTGGCTTCATTTGGGAAAAGCTGAGGTGGCCCCATGACCTCAGGTCAATTTTGTTCCCAAATCCATGCTAGGAAGACGTTGGGCCTTTAGACCCGGACCAAGGGGCTGGGGTAGGGTGAATGCCCTGCCCTCCTCTGTGCAGTACTTCTGTTTACTCCCTGGGGTGAAGAGCGGCACCTCCACCTCACCTAAGCATCAGGGTGCTCTGGGATGCTGTTCTAAATGGAGATGCCCAGGTCAGGCTCCCAGGTCCTTCTGACCCACCACTGGGCCTGAGACCCACTGGCCAGGGGATCTGGTCCCCAGCAGAGCTTTCAAGGCCCTTCACAGGCTCTAATTCATCTTCCCACCCACCCCACTCCACCTCTCACTTTGCAAGCCATGCTCTGGCCAATTAAATTGGACACCACCGTCTAAAGAAAAAAACACATTTTCAAGCCTCTGTTCCCTTTGCTTGGAATGTTTTGCCAAGCCTGGAGAATGCAGATCAACTGTCCGAAGGCCCAGCTCAAGTGCTAACTCTTCTTCAAAGAGCTCTCTCTACACTCGCCGGCGGGATGAATCCTTTCCTCCTGGCCGTTCCTTACAACCCTCTGCCCATCATGCCACGGTTGGTCACTGCCTCTTCTTCCTGCTGCACACGAGTGGCCTGATGTCTGAATCACTGTTGGCAATTCAACAGCTGGTTTCGAGCTTGACAGAGGACATTTAATACCCGCTGGCTGAGTGAAAGAAACATATGAACCCTTTCTGTCTTTCTGATTGTTATAAGTATGGCACCGACATTGACAAACATAGCACTGTATAAGAAAAAGACTTGTATTGAGACAACTGGGCAACCTTATGGTAAGAAAAACAAAGTCAGACACCTATTTTATAACTTCCACCAAAACAGATTCCAATTTCTAGCAAAGATTTAAATAAAAAAATGAAACTAGAAAATATGAACTTTAGTATGAAAAAGACAAACACCTAAGTCCCTCAACATTCAGAGGCACACTTCACGTTTAAAAGCATTTGGCTTCCTTTTCTGTGAACTGTCTATTCATATTTTTACCCATTTTTGTCAACTTGATGGTTGTTATCTTATTTTTGGAGTGGTTTATATAACAAGGAAATTAGCCCTCTGTAATAGGAAATAATTCCAACAATACTCATCAAAGCAAGTTAGAGCTCGAGCGGTCTTGAGTTTCTCTCCCCAGCAAAGATCCAAGTCTAGCACACGTGCGAGTGACGGTGTAGGGACAGGGAACTCAAACGTGGGTGCCGCAAGTTCACCCAGAGCAAGCTCTACAGGCGCCACCGGGCAATACCTCACATCCCCGCACTCCCACTTCCAAGAAGGAGCTCAACAGATTCTTGTCTCAAGATCCCTTTCCAGAGAAACATTTTGCCCTAGCATCTTCAAAGGGATTACCTCATTTATCTAGGACTAGGGATACAACTGGACAGTGCACACAAAAGCACGTCAGCATCATGCCCAGCTTCAGATCACCTGTCCACTGCCAGGCTGTGCAGCGGCTAGTCCACATTTGATATGTGGAAAAACACACTTTCTAGTTCAACAGTTTATACTTCAGTTCTGCATGAGTACTTTGTAATTTCTAAGTATCACTGTTTTATTAGGAAAATAAATACCACTTCCTTTAAGGATACAGAATCAGGGAGTCCTGGGAAAGGGATCTTGGTGATGATCCGGTACAACCATCTCAAGGAAGAACAAACTAAGACTCAGAGAAAGGGATTTTCCAAAGGTAACCTGGGAAGTTTGCTGAGTTGGGGCTGAAACTCATGCTTCCGTACGTCCAGCCAGGCACATTGTTTTTAACTGCACCAGGTTCTACTTCTTAAAAGATTTCTGCAGTCTTAACTGTGATTAATCTTGAGGCCTCCCTATTTTTCCATTAAGGCACATCTGCAATTTCAAAATGGAAGCCAATGAGCAGGAAAGCTGAAAGCAATGGTGTGAGAACATTTATACACCATCTTACTGCTTTGCCTTACCAACATTATTATTTACTTCAGTTTTTGCTTTTTTAAAAAGCTTAAATATATAGAAAAGGGAAATTTTATAGCCTCATAGGAACTGAAAGCCTGTAATCAATGGCCAGAACTCGGTTTCTTCCGGTAACCCACATGACACATCAAGTTTGATCTTGTTGCCTGCCAAAGTGCTGAGCCTGACATCTGTCCTCTTACTTCAAAAAGGGAGATTAGCAAGTGCTAAGGGGATGTTGACAGCAAACACCTCAAATTGGGACTGTAATTAGGAGGGCTGAAAGTGAAAGGGAGCAGCAGGTAAGCCTGTTATTACCCTGTCAACTCTCACCAGCAAAATCACAACGGTAGGAGTCCTTCTGGGAGCCACTGCGGATCAAGTCCTTTCAAGTCAGCCCTCATGAACATGTGGACTCAGCTCCGGAGTGCAGGCCTGGCAGTGGGCCGACAGAAGTTACAGCCCTAGGATTTCCCACCTCAGAACTTGACCAGACACCTATGGAGTCAGGAAAAGAGGGGAAGAAATCACACCTTCTTAATTAAGGTCGTCTGTAGCGCTATAGCTCTAAACGCTACTCTACTGAATCCTGCCAACAAGCCCACAGGGCTGGCGGTGTCCTCATTTCTTCAACTAGGAGTAAACTGAGGTTTAGAACAATTCAGACTAGCGTCAGGTGACCTCTGCCAAGTCTCTAGGGACCCCCCGGGCTCACGGGCCATCAAGCCCTGGTTGGGCTGAATTTTCACCTCCTGTTCCCAACGGCTGAGCGACAAAGAGGCAGGACGAGGCCATCATCTTCCTTTTCACCTCTGAGAAATGACTGCCCCTGGATTCTCGCTCGTCTGTTCACAAAAGTACCCTCTCACCCACATCAACAACTCAAAGAAACACGCCCGGGCGCCCTCGAGGCCGAGCCAGGGTTCCGGGGCGGCGTGGACCCTGCCTTGACCTGCGTGGACCGACCGCCTCCCTGAGCCTCAGTTTCCCCACCCGTGACAACAAATCCGGGCAACAGACCCCTCTCAATAACTGCGGGAGGTTCGATGAAGAAAAGTATTAACTGCAGCGCCTGCTCCCTCCAGGCGCCGGCCCATCGCCACCTCCTTGAACCCCCAAACCAGTCCCGGAGTTCGGGGGGGGGTCCACCCCGCCGGGGAAGAGGCGAGAATGCAAAGAGCCCGGCCCAGGACCCTCGCCCAAGCCGCGGGGCGGGCGGCCCCCGGTGCCCGGAAAACGCCCGCGCTCCCCACATCCCTGAGCCCGCCGCCCGCCGCTCACCCGCAGCCGCACCCCAGCTCCGGCTTCAGCTCCGCTCCCGGCGGCCGCCGGCAACTCTACTTCCGGGTCGGGCCGCTGCTGGCGTCCCCGCGTCTCCCCGCCGGCGCCCGCACACCTGCGTCCGCGTGTTCCGTGGCTGTCGCGTTCCGGGAGCACGCCCCGAGTTGGCCCTTTGCCACCGGATCTGCAGAGATCCCTAATCCCTCCACCCCATTCTTCCCCGCCCCGGAGGCAATAATGACAATCATCATTACAATGATGATGAAAACTAGATGATAAGCATGGAAACGTGTATGCTGTTAATAATTAAAATAATTAAAAACTACAGATGTGTGTATATTACTATTCAGCCGTAAAAAAGATGAAATCGTGCCATTTGCGACAACACGGTTGGACCTTGAGGGCATTATGCTAAGTGAAATAAGTCAGATGGAGAAAGCCAAATATGCATGATTTCCCTCCTATGTGGAAGATAAAACAACAACAACCACCACCACCACAACAGACAAACGCATAAACAGAGAGCAGACTGGTGGTTACAGGTGTGTGTGTGTGTGTGTGCGTCAAGGGGCACACACGTATGGTGACGCATGGAAACTAGACTTTTGGTGATGAACACGATGTAGTCCATACAGAAGTCGCAATATAATGTACCCCTGAAATTTATATAATGTTATAAACCAATGTTACCACAATAAAAAACCAAAAAACAAACCACAGATGTTTGTAGAGCAGGCTTCTTTCAATGCTACAAACATTTGTGGATGAATAAATAAACTGTAAAATATATCTGGAAGATGAATTGGAAAATAAAAGTAATCTTTTTTGTGTTAGAGCATTAGGATTATGGAAAGTTAAAAATAATTTTCATGACCTGATTTTAATATCTTTTAAATAACAGCGTACAAACGTTTCCTTTGCTCCCTGTAGATGCTGTTCCCAACTTGTCTTTATTGGAATACTAGCCCTGACAGATGTCTGGAAAAAGAAAAGTTCTATGGTCAAATTAAGGTTGGGAAATGCAGAAAATTAAGTTACAGTGAGATTTCCCTTTCAAAGCAGAACTCCTGATTCCCAGCCCACTCCTTGGCAGGTTCTCCATTGCTAAGACGGCAACTTCACCTTCCTGGCTGCTCAGGCCCAATGCCTTGAAGGCTTCCAGGATTCCTCTCTTTCTCTCACTTGGTATCCATCACTGTCTTCAAATCATATTTGAGATCCAATCAATCCCTCTGGCCTCGGCTGCCACCACACTGACCCAAGTCCCATCTCCCTCCTGGTCCCACCCTGAGCCCTACAGGCTGCTCTCCACACAGGCCCCGGGGGACAGCAGCCAGGACTAAGGTTGGATCTGAAGAGTATGTCCAGTTGGCAGAGAGGCAAGACCAGAGCCCCACTGCTTGTTTAATCCAGCTCCGGGGTTTATTCCACAAAGTAGGAAGGAGGACCTGAGGCCTGGGCCTGGCAGGGGAGCTGAATGGTCAGCTCTGGAAGCCTGCTTGTCTGAGTATTCTCCGCGGAGCTGGGAAACTGCAGCTGCTTGTGCTCCCCTGCTGCCTGGAGAGCCCCTTGGGGAGTCCTCCCCACAGACCTCCCAGGCAGCTGTGGGGCAGGCCATTCCAGGGACCCTTACGTTGACAAATGACCCAGATTCAGAGGAACGCTTTGACTTCCTCACCGTTGGGAGGAACCCCTACACTCTCCTCACTTATGCACAGGCGCCTAGTTGTGGTGGATGGGACACCTGAGAGCTCCTGGGTCTCTTCTCTCTGGTGGGGCATAGGCTGGGCCATGGTCTTGCTAACACTGTAAATAGTTA